AGAAGTGGCTATAAATCCTCTGGAGTTTTGCTCTTATAAAACTCCTCAGAGAAAGTCCTGAAGGAAATGCAGGTCAAAGCCCAAAAAAGCTCTTGATCAGAGATTGCTGGAGGAAAAGCTTCCCAGACGCCGTTTAATAGGCAGCAATCACCCCAGGAGTGGGGAAGCCAAGTACGCTTGAAACATGGTTGCAATTCCTAATAGGTCTTGTCACACTTAAGGCACTGCAAGCTCCATCCAACGAACAGCTGAAGCTAGCTGGCGATTCATAAAGCCAACAGTTTAAAGTTTATTATGATGAAAGCACTTAATGACAGCCATCGCTAGGGGCCCATCATTTATAAAGCTGTGCTGAGTATTAGACATGTAGCATGACCACCAATTTTATGTCACAATTGCTACCATAAAATGACCTTTGGTGATTTTTGCTGCATGTGGTGGACAGCTCTTCCTTCACATTAGTGCTCTGTGGCTTTCTTTGCAGACTATTATGCTGTCTAAAGCTTATTTGGCACTGTCGTGAGCCTCAACCCTTGTTATTACCCCGAAGGCCTGTCTTAAAAAAAAAAAAATCTCATGCTCTATTACGCCACTCCAATAATTTACAGTTCTTACCAGCCTTGGTTAGTGTAATATTTTAATGCAAATATGCTTTACCATTACATTTTATGTAAAAAGAAAAAAGTTCCCATGCTTCTGGCTAGTGCAATAGCCATTTGAGGAGTTCACTGAAATCAGCCTCTTATTCCCTGGTCTGGTCTCATTGAATGGGCACTCTTTTCCCTGGTCGTTCGGTTAAAACACCTCCAGAAAAAAAAGGGGGGTGGGGGAGGGGGTGGGAGGACTAATTAAACTTCCCTAGAGAATGAAAGATTTTTTTTAAAAGATCCCATGTGTGATAAAAAACCCACCTAAAACAAACACCGATTCCTATTTCACTACCTCCAGTCCCCATGCAAATTTACATTATTTAATTAGGATTCCATTTTCCAACCTGCTTTGTGTAGTTAGAAAGTGTTTGAATACCCGGCCACTTTACTGCTCCGATGCAAACCGCTGCTGAGAAAGTGGTCTGTCCATGCTACACCACCTTTAAATTGTGTATATAATTTTATAAATGATATAAAATCTGCTTCTAGTCCCTGAAAAAAAAAAGAAAAGAAAGAAAGAAACACAAGCATGGCACACTGCAATTTTGGAAGGATTTAAAATATGTGATTTCTGCTGGTACCTACTGTACTGGGTTTTATATAAAGCTTTTTTCAATAAGGTAAATTGTTACATGACAAACTCATCTTCCACCATTATCATCCGCTGTTTGTGTTTAACAACAGGAGTCCCGCTCTAACAAAACTGTTGTAATGGCTGCACAAATTACTCAGCTGAAAGCTTTCACCAAACAAAACAGTATTAATCAGCAGTTCTTACGAAGGTGCTAATTAAAAACAATTTTCTTCCTCAGTTTGCAATACTAAAGCCATCTTCACTTGCACAGTTTCCAATATACGGCTACTGTATTTGCTCACACTTCAGGCCCTCTATTAACTATTGAATCTCCTATTAGCCATTTTATTACGTTTCTGTTCACAAGCTTGTTGACATTTTAAAAGTCACAGTATGATCTGTTTTATCTATTAAAAAATGTATTAATTGAAAAGTCAGGGGGACAAAAAAGACAAAATGTAGACTCCAAATGCACAGACTTCCAGGGCAGGGAACGTGGTGAGCATGTAGCCGTAGCCTGGGCAGTGAGCTCTCTGGCTAAAATGAAATCTGAGAATTAAAATGGCATTTCAGGCTTAATAAACACCACCAGGCTCTCTCCTAATTTGGAAATAGTCCTCTCAGGAAAAGATATTTGCCCTCTATCGAAATTCAGTTTTGAAGGAGACTTAGTCTTACTTTCAAATCAATCTTTCCTCTATGTGATGCAATCAGCAGAAGACACTTCCTACAGTCTGAACTCAGAGTTTAATCTGGGGTGGAGCCTGGGACCTGGAGCCCAGAAATATGGTCTAAACAGTTTTGTCTTCCCTGTCAGTGTGTGTGTACTTATGCCTACATATGCTTGGATCTCCACGTGGCTAACCTGCTCGCCACCCTCCTCAGTCCTGCTGGGCAATGCCACCAAATTGTTTGGCATAGATTGGAAACGAGTCAAATGTTGACTAAGTGCAAAGACAAACTCCATGGAAGCTGGGTTGAGGGAAGAGAACAGTCTATTTCTATTTAAAAACAAACACACGAATAAAAAACCCAAAAGTCTAACCCTGAGGGGAAGGCATGCCCCATTTTGATAGTGGAGAGAAGAAAAAAAAATAAAGAAAAAAAAACAAAACAAACCACCACCACAACCACCTCCTGCCTGTGGTATTACAACCAGGTTCAAAAGCAGTTAACTAGTTTAGGACAGACGCCTGGCTGCTGCCATGGGGCTCCAGAGGGCCACTAATCCTTCCATTCACTCGGTTAACTGCTGGGTCCCCCAGACTGATTCAACAGGTATGCAGTGGTAAATTCATCCCCTACTGAAGCCAAAGGGAAAATCAGCAAGGGGCGGGCAGCTCTTCTCTGAAACACCCGAGGAACCAGCCAGAAAAGCTTTTATGCCCCAGACAAGTTTTCTGCTGAATACTGAGCACCTCAATTACCCTTCCCTAATGGAACTTACATTTTCACGCTCAGTCAAAAAGCCAACAAAATACACAATTTATACAAAATAGCATCAACCTCTTAGGTAGTCTTTTCTAGCACTTTTATCCCAATTCACAGCGTATGTCCTGCTATAAAATAAAATAAAATTTATTTCTTATAACCAACTTATATGTGGCTGTTCATATCACCGCATTAGAACTGACCATGGGCGGTATTAGAAACATTCTCACATCCAACCAGATCTACTTAGCATGACAAAGGGAAAGGAGGAGTTTTAGTAGAAGATACAGGTACAGGGGGAAGGGGAGTATCATGATTATTCTTAAGATTTCCTAAGTAGACGGGCTTCCTTTTGAAACACACACATGCATAATTACATAGTAGACAGTTATGGAATGGGGCACTGCAATGCATAGTACACAACCCAATACCAATGCATAGAGATAATTCTTAATTGTGAAGCTCAAAAGAAATGTACATGGATCAAGTTTCCAAAGCAGCTATATTTTCCCCTTCTCAATATCGGGATCTCATTAAAATGTAAGAAACTAAAAAACAAACAAACAAACAAAAAAAACACTGTTAAATTATTCAATAAGATACAGCATTTGTTACTCAAAAACTTCCAGAGAACCTGGCTAGAGATGTTTCTGGGTGAGGAACTCATAAAGACGAGATCCATGCAATTCTCAACATTTTACAGGAGATTCTCTAGGCTTTAATCACACAATAAGCACATTTGTTTACCAGGTATCTCTTGGTAGGAACAGCTCACTTCTTACACTGCCTCAAGCTTAGGTAACTGCACACCCTATTCTTAAATATGAAAAAGATAAAAATACAAATAAATTACGGGTTTACTTTTAAAAATACAATTTCTCTTAGAGAAATAAACACTGGATTTCTACACCCACAACACACGAATGCAAATTGAATTCTGGCCAATTCATGTATTTTCATGAGGAAAAATGGAAATAGTCTCATGATTCTGCTGTCCTGTATTTGAAAAGAAAAACAGAAAGAATAGACCATCTTAGGTGCTACTGCTGGGATGGGTTTTCTTTGTCTGGCAGATTTGGTTGCAGGTTTTTACAGAAGAAATAATTTCTGCTGTATTTCCGCCAGGACAGATGGAACTACCCGTGTTGCCTTTTAAAACATTCCCAATTCTAATTTTTAAACAAGAAAATATGAAGCCAGTGTGCTACCTATACAGTCGCCAAAGGAGAGCTGCCACTAGCTGAACTACTCAGCTAAATGGCTGGTTTGCATTGCCCTGGTCTTTATCTAGCACTGAGAATAGACTGCTGTTTTATCCAAAGAGGAATAAATTGCTGTTATTGTGATGTTAGCCCATCACTTGGCATTGCAATTCAAGTTTTTGTGAGAAAGAAATGTACGATCTAACTGCGACTTGACCTCTGCCTTCTGAGATCCGTCTAGGTGCTCTAATGGAGCAGAGAAAGTGGTGAATACAAGGACATGCAAACTGATGGTGAAAAATTTGTTTGATGATAAAAGGGAGCAGAGAAGACATTTGAGAGTCGCTGTTTTTATGACAGCTAAGTTTGTTTAACATGCAAAAGGGTTCCCCCCTCCCACAGTGTCCCTTTAATTGCACCACACGAACTACATGCTTATAAACATAGGAGGATGTAACCTGCTAATGACATGACTACTAAAGTGGGAGCAGATGATTCCTTACAGATAAACATCTGAATTTCCACAAAAGGCATTACAGCATCTCGTGGATGCACTGGGCAGGAATATGCCTGGGTTCCCTGCCGAAAAGGCATTCTCCCTTAATCCCAGGTGGCACCTATTAAATGTTCACTATACATGCGAGTCACAGCATATAACAATATATACTTACTTTAAATAAGATAATTGTGTGATTGAGTTTTTAAAACTCCTCCTGGTTGCAGTTTAGTTTATCAACCATTTATTCAAAATGTCTCTGGAAAGGACCTATTTTGAAAGAAGCCTGGAGAACAGCAGCCGTTAGATGTGAGCCCTGATAAAGGCTCACTTTTCATTCATAGTCAGAGCCTAAATGTGCTCTTCTTGTACCTAAACAGATAATAAGCACTCAGCACACTCCTCCTCCTTGACACAACACATTGAGACTAATCACACATAATTGGAGAGGAGGAGCAGGGGGCTGGCCACGCTATTGTGTCCAGAGGACACACGGTCAGTTTATAAGGCTCTGGGCTGATGGAGTCATTTCTTATACATCTATAGGGGGAAAAACCGTCCTGTTTAAAAGGGGGAAAAGAATGAGCCCGGGAGATAGAAAAAGAGATGGCAGCTTTAACACCAATTAATTTGAGGGAGATCAGAAAGATATGCTTTATTTTTATTAACCAGGATAGAATCGTCATGTTTGCGGTTTTATACATTAAAAACTACCGCCACCCAAATGGAACAAAGACCAAGGTATTTTTTTTTTTTTTTTCAAAAATGGGGGTGGCAATCACCAACGGAAATTCTGTCTCAATTAGAGGCAAAAATATTTAGGGTGCTTACAAATCCAATTCAGATAGCAGACAGGCTGTTTATAGATATTTAAAGACAAACAAAGGTTTAGTGCAGGAAGAGCAACAAGCGGACTGAAAAAAGAGAGGACGGGGATGGCTGGGGAATAATGTGGGTGAGGACAGGTGGGCTCCATAATCACACGTGGAATGTCGCCAAGGTGGCTCGGGGCCCACAGCTTGGGGGCTGGACAGGAAGCCGACGGCTTGCTGCATATTACACACATTACAGATTTCTGGTTCGGGAAAATATTCCCTGTGTACTTGATGTTTTCTTCATCTGTTGAGCAGCTTAGTCTTCTATCCACTTTTGGTTAAAATAAGCAGAAGTGGGTAATGAAGGTTTTCTTCATACATATCCTGGTTTTCCTTTTTCAACTGAAAACAGTAATAGAAAAAAAGAAAGGTAAGGAGACTCAGATTAGGAATTTTTACCAGTCGATTTAAATGTTGAGTATAACGAAGACTTCTTACCTAAATATATTGTTCTGGAAAAAAAAAAAAGCAACTCAGTGGCACTGACATATCAACATGACGCATCAAGATGAGAATCTTTTTGTTTTGTTTTCATAAACAGTCACCCTGCATTTGTGACCCCCAGGAACTGTGAGGCACTTCGGTGAAGGCAGACCTGGCCAGCCCTTGGCATAGAAGCTTCCGGGAATCCAGCGGACAGGCCTCTCAGACCCCTGTTTGGAGACCGTGGCAACACCTGGGCACCAGGGAAAGGCTTGTGGGGCCCAGGGCATTTCAAAGACTCTCCAGGTCCTTCCCAGGGGTTAATATTAATGATAAGTAACTCAACAATTCTTTTCTCCGGGGGAAAGCGTATTCCAACAATCAGAGCAGCAGGCTTCGGTACCGCTCAGGTGAACTCCCGAGGGCCTTCCCAGGGCAGGCAGATGTGCAAATCCCATCAGCATTCTCCAATCTGAAGTACACTTCTCCTCATTGGCTAGAGTAATTCTGATAGTCATATTTATATGTATTCTAGCAAATAATAAATTGCTATTTATAAAGACAAAATCAATATTTTTGAGCCAAATTTTAATTCATTTTTTAATTTATAAGAATCAGAAATAAATACTTTTTTTCACTATACATGGAACCAATTCCTTTATTATTTCAAATCAGACAAACCTCCCCCTCCCCCTTGATGCTAAATGAATGGCTCCAACATGACACTTTCCGGGATTAGTAAATCTGGGGCATAGCTTGAATCTTCTCAAAGCGCATATTCCTTCCATATCAGATTCCCACACTGTGGCACACCCACACTGCTCAGGACAGGAGCAAGGAGCCTGCTCTTCCTTTTCTACTGGGGAAAGTAAAGGCACCTTGTCTTTACTTCCAAACCCGTTGCCCTAAGATCTGATGGTGGTCCAATCACTCACGTGACTTCATTCTGTTTTCTTACACGGAGTTTGTTCTATTTACAGATGAGTAATTATCTATTTAGAAAGAGCCTCGTGGATTTCGGTTGCCACCAAAATAATGACAGTGTTATTCTTAAACACACATCCCTCAATATCACTAATTAACAACAACAACACACACACAAAGAAATGGCTTCCCAAACTTCCCAAACCACGCCCACTAATAGGGGCCAATCAACTGTAAATACCTTTGATGTCAGTTGCCGTAGTGATAGAAGGAGCACACCGAGATACTCCACAGAGGGAAGAGGGGCCGAGCTAGCTAAATTCTTCCTCAGGGACTGGGGATCAGGGAAAGGTGATTACTCAGCATGAGTCAGCTGACCTACTCACTCACAATGCACTAATACACAGACTCAAATGAGCTCTTTATAAAGTCCCTGCGGTAATATGTGGGGTAAATAATTCTTCTGTAAATATGGGTTAGAAACCACTTTTAGCCTGGATTCTGTGCTGACCTCTGGAGGCTGAAGCCGAGGCTTCCTTGCTGGGAGGGACCGGGGCCCACCCCGTGTTGAAGGTGAGCCCTTCCGGAGATGGGGAAGAGAGGACAACCCTACACCCCAACCCCAGATCATTTCCGAGTCCAGAACACACACAAAGCTGTTAGGCAATGTTTGCTTCGCTGGCGGAATGTTATGTGGTTTAAGAATAATGCCATTTTCCCAGGCTGTCCTTCTTTGCCCAATGAATAATTATAATGTTAAGAAATACAAAAGCACCTTGAAAAAAAAAATGAACAGAAGGGAAATTATGAATAAAACAATCTTTCAATTTCATAGGTTAAAACAGGGTCTTTGAAGACTGAACCAAGTTCTATAGCTGCTATTAGTCACATTATGCTTTACTTCCTAATTGGATGCCGCACACTCAGCCTCGCCGGGGCGCGAACAGCAGCAGCGGGAGCGGAGTTCAGACTGTTTACCCTTTACAGTACCCACAATTATCAACAGCCCACCACACAGATGACAAGCACCAGCCACTTGTGATGTGGCATTTTGAATAGAAAAGCAGAAGTGCAATATGGCCGTGCTTTTCACACAATGTACTGACTTCACAGCCCAGCCGAGCCTCTCTTCATGGCTAAGTACAGAAATACAGAAAATAAACACACGGGTGGTTTTGTGAAAGTTGTGAGAGGGGGGAAAAATACCTATGGCGTGTAAAATTATATTCCAAAGAAAATTTGCATGAATGAGTGCAGTTTTAGCAACTAATTTCAAGCCAGGGGCGATCTCAGAGCTAGGTCTCTACCTTGCTAAACCATTTGCTATCTTCACATCCTTCCAGGTTCCCAGCCACACCAGCGGGCAGTGCATTTCATTCCCAGCCCCGGGGAGACCCAGAGGTTGGGTAGGGGGAGGGAGGTGTTTTATTTTTCTTTCCGTTGCCTGGATGAACAGAAAGGCAGTATTTTAAACACACACACACACACACACACACACACACACACACACCACACCTTTAGCTGCCTGGTCCCCGGGCATGCTGGCTGCATGGTGTGGGCACCATTTAGCAAAAACACTGGCAGAAAAGTGCAGAATGGCACCGTTTTGATTACAGGCTTGCTTTTGAACGGAAATAAAATTTCACAGTTAACAATGAGAGGTGAAAAGTTTAAGAGGCAAAGCTGTTCCTCCTGATCACTGACTGGTAATCAGCTTCATGGGTGGTTGCCTAAATCTGTAGATTTTTTTTTTTTTGTACCTTGCACTACTGCCAAGATTGTAACTAATTTTTCCCCCTGTTGTAAGAGGAGGGGTGGAAACCTCGGCACAGAAGGCAGCTGTGTATGAGTGACGTGAGGCACTAATGCAGAGGGCAGAATTAAAATTCATGAATCTCTTCACAACCATTTGTGTAACAAGATTAAGACGGGACAGCGGAAAAGAGCGGCATTATCAGGCGTCTTACAGTCCTCCAGCTGGTTACGCTCTATTCCAGCACAGTAGGGCTAAGAGGATAACACGCGGCCCCGAGGAAAACGGCCGCTCCTGCATTTGGGAGCGAGCTCGTCCCTGGGACCGTGGGGGTTTGGCCGGAGATGGAGAGGAAGAAAGCTGATTGCCGCTCAAGATGGAAAACTTTTAAGCCCCGGCTATTAGCACGCGGCGAACAAAAGCGGCCAGGGTGGAGGTTCCCGGCGGCCGCCGGCCCCTGCGCGTCCCCGAGCCCCGGGCAGGCGGGCGGCTGGCGGGCAGGGACCCGAGGACACAGGGGTGCTGGCTTTGGAGCCGCCCCCTTGCCTGGGTGAAGGGCACCCGGGCTGGGCGAGGGGCCGGGACGCTCCCCAATTCCCACCCCCACCATGCCCCCGCCCCCACCCCCACCCCCCACCTGATTGGCCTCTGGGAGAGATCCCGTCCGGGCACCCTCCCCTTGCCCAGGAGACCTCCACGAGCGAGCTGGGTTTGGGTCAGTACAGGGTAGAGCGGCTGGGGCGGGAGAGCCCAGCATCCTAGCTCTGGTGCCGAGGGACGAGGCATGCTCTTGCTAGCAGCTCACCACCAATCCAGCGCAATTGAGCTCACCAACAATCAACATGATGGGCGCACGTCTTGTAGCATTTACCTAGGACGCCCCAACTCCTCAGAGGATCCCCTTAGGATGCTACTTCCTGAGAACAAGACGCAACGTTCACTGCTCACCACAACCAAGAGGGGAGGAGGACTGCTTCTTAGCCCAGTGTCCACAAGTTGGGGAATTTAACTTTTAAGCAATTATGGAGAGATAAAAATGAGGCCACTTATGACATTTTATTTTTGTGGGACCAATCCGCCCATGATTATTTATGGAGTACTAACTGTGGGCATAGACATACATGTATCAATGTAAAGGTAAGAGGCATGCTTAGTGATTTAGGGAGTGATGCTTTGCAGGATAGTGTGCAAGGCTGGAAAAAGAGGACGTTGCTGTCTACTAGCTGCTGACAATCTAAAGTTCTAGACAAAGGAAAGGTGGCCACCAAGGACTCAAATACCTCCCGTGTTCCAACACACTCCAGGTCGCGCAGGGAGGTGAAGAGGGTAGAGGAGAGGGAAGGTAGCAGGCCCGGTGCCGACTTCTCTGCTGGTGTAGAAACCCAAGCCTTTGCTCTCCTGAGCTGTGGCTGAGGTTCTAAAAGCATTTGTTGTTCTGGGGGGAAAGTGGATGACAATGACACTGAGGCAGCCATCATCCAATCCCCCTATCTCTAGCCCTAAGCAGGACAGAAGGCAGATTGTATTGCTTTGGGTAGAGGAGAGCCCCCCTGCCCCGCCCCCTACCCCCCCCACTACCCCCAGGTAAAGCCTCCAGGGCCATTCTTTTTGTTTCAGGGAGGGGTTGAAAGAGGAAAACATGTTCTGGAGAGGCAGGTAAGATCTGAGTACCATGCCATTCTGCTTTCACTTTCTGATTGTAAGCAAAGGGCCCAATTCCAACAGTGAGGGGACATGGTTTAACCCCTCCAGTTCACAAAGCATCATTTCTATTCCAGGGGCTGAATGGAGCCCTTAGAGACTCAAAGAGGTGAACCCATTCCCAGAAAGTGAGGATTTCCTTTCTTTTGCTGGGAAGATCAGGTCCACTTTGTATATAATTTTTCAAAAGTCCGTAACTTCTGCATTAAATCATAGTCCTGGGTAATAAAGAGTGCTATTGGTCTTTTTATAGGAGAAAATTAAGGTCAGGCCTTTATTTTCCTGCAGTCACAACTTGCAAAATTATGACAAGTCAAAGTCTCTTGCCAAGGTCAGACTAGTTCAGAGAAGGGAGATTTCTGTAAGGCACAAAATTACATAAGTAATACATGTTATGCTAGTAACAGTTACGTGTATTAGCAAACGTGAGAGTCCTAAAGTTTTCAGGACACTTGCCTCTCAGTGTCCTATATTGCTGTATACCCATAAATAATAAAAAGGCTGATAACATTGCTTTATGTAAGCAAGCTTAGAAATCACTCTCAGATAAGTGCTTTTGACCTAAATCTTGTAGCGCCTCACTCTGACATCTAACCCCACAACTGTGAAATTCTGTAGGAGATTTAACAGTCTCAAACTGCCGACTGACCCAGCCATAAAGCAAGCAGAGATAAAGATTTACAGTCCAACATGATACAATTAGACAGTCACCTTCTATTTATTCCAGTGCAGCTAAACATTTAACCTACTTAAAAGCCCGAAGCTTTTTCATTAAAATATAAATGCTTGTTTATCATTCGTTCTATGCCACCTCCAGGCATCCTATAAATTAGCCTATTATAAATGAAAAGATAACTTTGTTTCCGAGAAAGGAGTAAACAAGAATGGTTTCTGTAAAATCCTTCTAGACATGCAAAGATAAAAGATGGCTTTACCACACAAAATAATCAGATACACGGAGCTGTTCAGAAGCAGCACACCTAAGTACTTTAATCAAATATTTAGGTTACCTGCCAAAAAGACCATGATCTCTTCAAAATGCAATGCGGATTAAAGTGTTATCTAACACAAGCAGAAAACTAACCTTGGAGTGGAAGTTTGAAATGTGTTCATCATAATTTTCATGTCTTTGGAGAGAGAAGCCAGCTTTTTCAGCTAGATTGCAAAACTGGTTTAAAGTAGTCCCTCGGCGTGGGGCAAATACCATTGCTTTCCCCTGGAACATTAAAAAAGAAATGTACACATTTTAAAACTGGCAGGCAACCAAACATCGCAGACATCGGTCAAAGCACTTAACATACTGCTCTCAGGTAGAAAACTCAATTGTTCTGGAGACGTCCACACAGGATGGGCATTCACAGTGAGAACTATTCCACGGACAGCTATGCATCAAATAAGAAAAATATATATTTCTTAGTCAAATGGCCAGTGGCTTTTCAAATAATGCACGTAATAAACAAGATGTGACTCCAAGTCGGTGTTCTGTACCACATGCACCTCTTTTGGGTCTAGCGGTTGAAACAAAAGCACTAGATTCTCAAGTAAGTGGTCCAGGGCAGTGCCACCCACCTTGCGACTCGCTGGCAGCTGCCAACACACCCGCAACACAGCTCCAGGGCATGTGGCAACAGACGCCTGTAAATGTGAGTTTATTGTGCCCTGAAATCTCAGTACCAAGAAAGCCTCCGCAGAGACAAGGAACCACAATCCCCAGTGGGGAATTTTCACGTTTCAGTCCTGCCACCGGCCTTATCTGGGACCACGCTGTCAGCTACAAGGATCTTGGTTTCCAACGTCATTGAATCCTTCAAAATGGCCTTCATTATAGCAAAGCAGCTCCTCACAGTACTCAAATGATTGCTTTTCAAAGAAAGTGGTATAAAGAGGACAAACAGGCTTTTCTAAATAAAATGCGCAACCTTATGAGACTGTTGCAGAGGGGAGCCCGGGAGGACCTGTAGACAACATACACCGGATTTTCAGAAACCCACCAGACATGAACCTCCACGTGGGTCATGTGCTCGCTACTGGGTGCATGTGGATTTTTCCTCCCCCTCTCAGATGTGCACAGAATGGCTAAGCTTCAGGATCTTCTTTTCTTTTTATTTGGTTAAAAGATGGCTGTGTGCTTCTGTTAATTTCAGGGTTACACTTCACCTCGATGCAATGCCGCTTCAGGTTTTGAGAGAATCACAAACATATCCCACTTTCTTATGAAAGGTGGTTTACCATTCCCACCTGCCAACCATTGACTGAGCGCGCAGTAGGTGTCAGACTCTGGGAGAGGGGCTCTCTACTCATTGTCTCCCTGAAATCTTCAAACCACCAAAACGTGAGGATTATCAGCTCCATTTTACAGGATGCTCAGAAAGGTTGACTAATTGGCCAGGATGACACAACTGGTAAATGAATGGAAACGTATCTGACTCCAATGCCACTTCTCTCTCCCGGACACTGCATTGCCTCCTCATTGGTACCAGTGGCGGCAGTAATAAAAATAGCTACCACTGTGCTGGGTGCTTCAACCTTCCCTTCAACCCCCTCAACAACCGTGTAGGGAAGACATGACGTTTCACAGACGATTCAACATGCAATGAAGGGGTTGAAGACTACAAGGAAGGACTGTGTGGCAGAAAGGGTTTTTGGACGTAAAGGGGGTCTCCACCATTAAAGAGCTGTGTCACCTCAGGAAAGTCAGAAAACTAATCTCAGAGCGGTTGAGCCTGAGGACCTTGGAGATGTTAGTCTACTCTCATCGAAGTCATCCTAGCCGGCCCACTGAGTTTTCTCATCCAGCAAATGGGAAGAACCAAGGCTGCCCCCCACCCCCAGCAAGTGGTGAGAATCAGATGAGGTGATGAATATGGAAACAGTTTGAAGAACAAGGTTAAACAGATGTAAGACTAGAAACATCTACAGCCCCTAATAGTGCTATAAAAATTCCGTCAATTCTCTCTCCTTGTCATTCTCTTTCCCTCATTTACCTGCAAGAAAAACCCCCATACACTGTCCCGGACAGCAAGCATGTTTTCATACTATGTTTACATAGGCATGTACACACTCAGGCACATAATTATAGCAGCACCAATCATGCCAATACACTTAAGGTTCTGTCAGCTTTTCTCATATTAATTGCTATTTTCAGGTGGTTTTCAAACTTAGCAGTAAAAATGCATTTGGATGTGAAAGTAGATATAATACAGGGTCTCAGCAGGAGAGCAAAAATCTCTATTTAAAAAAAAAAAGTGAATACTAGTAGGTCATTTTAGTCATTTCTAAGAGCTGGTTGCCATTCTGGATTTTTGAATAATGGAAGTTTTTTATTTTATTTTAAATTCACTTGCAAAAATTGTCTTACATTACAATGGAAGAGTTGATTTTTAACAGCTATTACCTAAGCCAGCGATTTTCAGTCTTTTTCATCTCATGGCACACAAAAACTAATTACTAAAATTCTGTGGCACACCAAAAAATATATTTAATTTTTTGCCGATCTGACAAAAAATAGGCCTAATTTTGATTGATTTACAAAAATAAAAAATAATAGTAATTATTTTCCCTTTTTGCTCAATTTTTTTAAAAAAAAAATCAGGTGCCTATACTTGTATAAAGGATTTCTGGTACTAAGAATTAACCAATCAGACAAAACCTTATTCTGTGTTGTGACCAATAAGATGCAACTCTATTGCCCTAACCGGTTTGGCTCAGTGGATAGAGCGTCGGCCTGCAGACGCAAGGGTCCCAGGTTCGATTCCGGTCAAGGGCATGTACCTTGGTTGCGGGCACATCCCCAGTGGGGAGTGTGCAGGAGGCAGCTAGCTGATCGATGTTTCTCTCTCATCAACGTTTCTAACTCTCTATCCCTCTCCCTTCCTCTCTGTAAAAAATCAATAATATATATATATAGATGCAACTCTATTATATGACCTATATATTTATGGTACAAAACAGGGCATTCACACCAGAAGACTATTGTTGTATTGGCTGTTGTCATTTTTAACATTTGACAATCTAAGGCAGGGGTCCTCAAACTTTTTAAATAGGGGCCAGTTCACTGTCCCTCAGACCGTTGGAGGGCCGGACTATAGTTTAAAATAAAACTATGAACAAATTCCTATGCACACTGCACATACCTTATTTTGAAGTAAAAAAACAAAATGGGAACAAATACAATATTTGTATTTGCATGTGGCCCGCGGGCCATAGTTTGAGGACCCCTGATCTAAGGGAAAAGAGGCCAGTGCCCCTCACTAAATAGTCAGGTACTACATTTAAAATATATATATACTTTTATTGATTTCAGAGAGGAAGGGAGAGGGAGAGAGAGAGAGACACATCAATGATGAGACAGGATCATTGATTGGTTGCCTCCTGCACCCCTCACACCGGGGATGGATCCCACAACCTGGGCATGTGCCCCTGACTGGAATCAAACCCAGAACCCTTCAGCTCGCAGGTTGACGCTCTATCCAAACCAGCCAGGTGGTACTGCATATTTTAAAAATCCTGTGGCACATGGGTTGAAAATCTCTGATCTAAGCTATTTATCATCATGTTTACAGGGCTCTGCAGTTCTTGGTTGGGTTGATGCTTGCATTTACAAAGCACATGCTCTCCACAGTGCACCCCTTGTTGGCTGGGGTGAGGTGTTAGGGGACTGCAACGAAGCCTATGGCTGCACTCTCTGCCCAGACATCTCTTTCCTCCTTTAGGCCTCGGTTTACCTGTCCTTCTCTCACCACCCAATCTAGCACAGCCCCCCCCCCCCGCCCCCATCATTACCCCCTCTCCCTGCTCTATCTTTGTTCTTGGCACTCATCACCTCTGACACACATCATATCCTTGTTTGTGAATGCCCGCCTCCTCTGGCTGGAATGTACACTCCATGCCAACGGGATCTTCTAATGTTTATTCACCGCATTTTCGCAGGACCTAGCCGATAGTAGATACTCAACCAATATTTGTTGAGAGAATAAACCAAATGCCGGTGTTGAGTCATCTGAGAAATACGAGTCTTTGGGGATTCGAAGGCCATCTCCTATTGCTTATTCTTTAGAAAAGATTTCCTCCAAGAAGCATTTGTAGAGTCAGCGACTATGGCAGGATATAAGAGGGCACAATACTGGGCCCACGAGAAAGAGAAAGAGCAAGCAGGACTTTTAATCTTTAATTACTCAGTTATGAGTTTTAAAATGCTTCTTTTCATTTAATTAAATACAGATATTTTTGAGATGTGGATTCATACTTAATAGGGACAGCAGTACATCATCCATTCTGAATGCTTCAGTAAGCATCCACTGAGCCCTACTGCATCCACCCCATAGAGATTGGTTTTAGGACACACACACCCATCTCAGTAGAGCCAAACCCTTTGTCGGGTCTAATCAGAGGAATACGACTTACAATTTAGGCTGCAAAAATCAAAACAAGAAAAAAAAATAGATTTCAAATTAGCCCATCACTTTAGAAAAATTATTTTCAATTTACCAAAGCACAAGTTTCTAAGCATTCACAGTCACGGAGTCATTTTAAACGAAGAATGAACACTCAATTGAATGTAAAATTTTGACTGATGAGCGGAAATTTGAGAGATTCGTTTATCCCTGGAGAGGAGAGAGGAGGAGTCCCACTAAACAAGGCGATACTGTTTACATTGTGAGTGCAGTTGTTGCTGTTTCGCTAGACTAATCCGTACTCACATATTAAAGGGTGTGCACTTCTGGAAAAATAAGTATGCTTAGGGTTTATTTTAAAAGGAATATGCTATGCCGACGAAAGGCTTTTATTCCTCTTGCATTTCCAGGCAACCAACTATTAAATACCGATTACATGTCTAAGCTTATGTTTATTTTCTAGCCTTTTCTTTACCAGGTTTCTGAGATGCTGACTTTCCCTACTTCCCACCTGCTTCCTCCCCTGTATCTCTCTCAGTCCCCTTCCCTGACTTCTCTTCTTCCATTTGCTCCCTAATTGTCAGTGGTCCCCAAAGCTCTGCCTACTTTTTATTCTTATTCTATATAGTCCTAGGCGATTCTACCGAAGTCCAAAACGTCAACTATCACTAATACCTCAAAACTCACTAGTATGTAACTGCAGCATTCACCCGTATTTTCAAGTGTCTACTGGATCTCTCCATGGGTGAGTTCTGAAAGTGCCTTTAACCCATTCCATCTCCCATTCCATCTAAAATGGAATTCAATATCCTTGGCTCCAAGCCCCTACTGTTTGGAGCCAGATCACTACCCATCTCTTTCTCTTTCTCTCTCTCTCTCTCTCTCTCTCTCTCTCTCTCTCTCTCTCTCTCACACACACACACACACACACACACACACACACACTCAGACACACCTACTGGGTACCAAGCACTTCCATACTCTTCCATTTTTGAAACAAAGCTAGACACCTGGGAATCATGGCATTGCCTTTGAAAACCCTTTAGTGCCACATCTCCCCACCCACGTCACTGTCATCTGCTGCATTTGGCTCAAGTGCAGTTTTTGCTGGGCACCCTGAGAATTCTTGTATCTCCCGTTGGATGTGCTGAGCCTTGAATTATGAAGAACTCAGGACCCACCAGCGTAGCCCCAAGTTGTTTCTCTGTGGGCCTCTTGTGACATCTTCAGATCTCTGGGCCACAACACCATGGAGGAGTTGTCTTGGCTCAAGAAAACATTGAAAGCAGCTCTAAGTAGAAATAAAACCTTTGCTATTATCTTAGTATTGGACTGTGACTTCACAACACACACGCTCAGCAGGGGGTGGTCCTCTGGAAGCAGAACAGCCAGCGCTGAGAGCTAAGAATAGTTCAGCTCTTCCTCTGGTTACCCCCAAGCTCTGGGAACCCTTCTAGCCCAATGGCACAGGACATGGGGCTGCAGGTCACTGCCAAGTCCATGTGACCCTTGCAGGGTGCACCTGGGTAGAGGCCTAGGGAGTGCAAGTGTTGTGCCTCCCTAGATTCCCCCAAAAGGGATGAGTTTCCTGGGGGGTAATTTTGGAATGCCCACGTGCCATCCACAACTCGGACTCCCCCCTACAGTGGACCTCTTACCCCTTATCTAGAGCCCTGGCCGTTTGTGAACAAGGAGCCTAAGCTAGGCCCTCCTCCCATTTCTAATGCAGCTGTTCGGTGCAGGCTCCTCTGATCCAGGGTCCCTGCTCCTTGCGTGGTAAGGAGGACATCTACTCTAGGGCCCTGCCTCCTCCTGCTAGGAGCTAAGGGTGAGTAACAGCCGTCAGTAGGGAGGGCTGCTGTCTTCGCTCAGGGGGGCTGCTGTGTGGAGCCATACTTCAGGCCAGGGGGAGTGTGGTTCAAGGTTTAATAGAGGGAACAGGGGGCCTGCTAGGATTCCAGTCCAATCTACACTTAGGTCTATTCATAGCTTGGGCAGTTTTTTATTGTGAATCATGAGGATGATTTACAAAAGATTCTGGGAAAATCATGCAGATCTGCTGCAAAATGGAGTATCTGCCACCAACAGGCCAGAAGGAGGCTGGCGTGGAGTGCGGTCCTGTTTGTGCAGGGCAAGATCCAGGAGTCCTTGAAAGCACTGCATTTATATATGTGGCCTATGAAACATTTCCATGGAGGCCTTTACATCCAAGAGTCTCAGTGCCTCTGAAAATCCTCACCTTGCAAATGCTCACAAGGCTCACCCAAGGTTCACAGGGGGGATGGAGAGGCCCCAAATTCCCTTTTCCACCCTCAGCTCAGGCTGCTCACCCAACTAGGGCAACAGCCATCCCCAGTGTGGGCCGTGCCCCTTCCTCGCCTCAAGACCTACTATCCACCGCACAGAGGGAACTGAGAAGCCAATTTCCTTTAATTGATTACCACTTACCAAGCTGTGGTTACTCCTCTGAGAGGTCTATTTAAAGTTTCTGAGCTATACAGAGATAACAAAATAAAAAGCAACAGTGTGAGGCAAAGGATGATTATCAAATTGCCCTGGGAACCTTCCATGTGAAAACAGATATAAAAGGAATATTGAAAGGTATTAGTCTGTAAGTCTCACTGAGGTCAGAAGACTGGCGCAAACCCTCTTTTAAAAAGACTTTAGAAACAAAACTAGAAAATACTTCACACACACACTGCAGTCTTTGCTCAAATAAATTTGAGTTCCGGCCCTAGACTGACTGCATTAACATTGTTACGCTATTTTAAACTCGATGGTACAGCGAGAGCCTTACATACTTAAATTTTTTTTCTTTTTTTAATGCATGAGCTTTAAACTCGTTTTCTTACTTTAAATAGACGTATATTAACTCTCTGTTTAGGCTGCAAGACCTCCTAGCTTAGTATAACAGCCCAACAAAATAAGAGTGGATACAAACTCTGTAATTTACTCACAGGCATAAATGGATATATAAATGTAAAAATGTGCACAATTTTTATGCCATGCGTGGCTTCATTGTGACCTAATGTTTATAATATGTAAATAATGGCTTCCTTTTAAAGCAAAGAACTTTTAATATACAGATTCATCTGAAGTCCTTTTTCTTTAATATAAACAGAAATAGAAAAAAAATGCCTTTGCAATAAATACCCAATGACAAAGGTTACCATTGAAGGGATTTAAAATGACAGAAGTCAACAGAAAACTTTCCATATCATACTTCTACTTTCATATGAAGATATTGCTATCAAAGGAAAAGACTCAAGAAATTCTTTGATAAAAATAATCTCACACTATCTTTGAAGCAGTTTCATTTATTTTACTACCCACTGTGTTCCTTATCTGAAGGCCAAGGGTAAGAAGTTTCCTGGTTATGATTAGGAAAGAATCTGATAGATCAGAAGACCCAATTGAAGTTGGACATAATAAGTATTAAAGTATCACATGACATTAATCCTGCCATTCCATTACTCTCTCCATCTCTGCGCGCAGACTAATTATTCTGAACCAGTGTTCGGGTGGAAACAGGAACTACTTACCCCGGGCTGGAGCAATCTCTTTATTGCATCGACCAGGCTGGCTCTGTACTGGTCCAGAAACAGGCTGCCATTGAGAAGAGAGCAGAATCCAGATTAAACTGGGTTTTCAAGTCTAATGATACTAATGGAGGCAAGTACAGGGCTAATTACACATGTTTACTCAACGCTCAAGAAGAGACATTGCATTTTTCTATTCAAATGTCTTGCTGGGGAGAAATAAAGTAAAGATACTGTGGTTAGTGGTACTGCAATGGAAGCGAAGCTAAGTCATCAACATGCAATGGGCCCGGGTTATTCACACACACTGGGCCCCAGGTTATTGTTAACGGGACGATTTCTAAGCTTCTGTTTGGAGGAAGCTCTCCCAGCACTTGCTGCCATTGGAGCTCAGTCTCTGTAGACCCGGGCCCCCCGCACACGGAGGGTGCTGTGCGACCGCCCTCCAAAAATAAACCGCTGAATCATCTCCGGTGGGGACGGCTTTTAGTGACTAGGAATAGCACTGAGGTTAGATTCCACCAAGGACCTAGGACTAAATGGTTCCGAAAACAAAGAACAAAGGTAAGGTTTGGGCAACGCATCATGGAGACCATGGCAACTCTGGATTCCTCCCGCTTGATCTCCATGTTGATTTTTTTCCAGTTCGCTGTCATCTTTCTTTTTTATCCTCTGGTCTCTGGAGAATTTGTTGTAGCTCTATTGTCCCTTTGGTTAGGTTGGCCTGACCCCCATGTTCACCAGGCCTTTCTTGGAAAGCTTGGGACAGAGTTTGCTTATCTGGGACTCGCAGGCTAGGACACTGGGCAGCCTTGTGCACCAGCCACCCCAGGAGGAACCTAAGTGGAAGCCCTCTCCCATTCCCAATGCTGTCGTTGGGTGCAGGCCCCTCTGATTTCGCCTCCCTGCTTCTCACAGAGCATGAGTAAGTACTGCCTACTCCAGGGCCCTGCCCCATCCTTCTTGGAGCTGAGGGTTTCGGCCGTCAGCAGGAGCCGCATTACAGGCAAGGGTGGGGTGTAGTTCACCGTTTAATAGAGCTATGGCTCTGACCTCTCTGCTATGTCACCTTGACAAGTCACTTCCCATGAGGCCTCTGTGTCTTTATCAATAAAGGCCCACTTCTGTGGCTGTGGTGGAATCAAATTAATAATACATATTAGTTGGCAAATATTTGTTTTTATAAAATCTGCCTTTAAGTCATGTGAATCAGTGACTAATAACCATTAAGGATGGAAAAGGAAGAAATCAAGTTATATCTAAGTGTCTTAAAACTTTTTCTCTTCGGGACTATATACCTTATTCTTTAGTGAGGTAATGATATCCTAAGTTTTAATAATTAAGCATTCTGGTTTTGTTTTTTAAGAAGATTATCATTGTGGGAGGATATCTCTGTCCGGTACTCAGGCCTATAGAAAACCTGGCTGGTTGGGGTACATAGCATTAAGCAAAAGACCCTGCTCAGTTTATACCTGTGCATCCTAAGAGCTGATAAGATCATTAGAATAAAAAACAGCATCTTAAAAGCTGAGTTTAAAACATAACCTTAAAAAGTACTATTTCTACTTAATGTTGGTAATGGTGACAGGTATATTAATTAGCATCCCAACTTACTGAAAAAATGCAGCTCAACACATAGGACACATTCCAAATACAGTTATCCAAATACAGTAATGTCGTCTACTCCATCCAAACCAAATTTCCCAAAAGTAATTCCTGTAGTTTTCTAAGTGGTCTTTATTCCAAGCAAGCTCACCTGTCTCCTTAGCTCTGATGCAGAATTTATAATGCTTTGCAGGATAGTCCTATGAGCAATTTCAATGTGCTTTAGTGGGAGTGATATATAATCTCGGGAAAATTCGCCCCTTAAATGGTCCTAATGGGCTCAGAGAACAGCAGTAGCTTAAGTGGATCTATTTAAAAAGGCTGAGAGGGTCAGTGATGGGGATGGAGATACCGTTTCAACTCTCCCCTTCAGTTACTGATCAAAGTGCATCGACAGTCAGCCTAGGTCGGCCATTAAAACACACACAGATGTGCACACACACACACACACACACACACACACACACACCCCTCTACAGAATTCACTCGTGGAATCAAACTTGCTTTGTTCTATTGATCTGAACCACAGATTTTATGAGAAAGGAAAGGTGGCAGGCCATTTTCATCCCTTCCCTTAGAATCAGTCTGTTTTGAGCAGCGCACAGAGCATTTGCAGCTCCTCTCATAGGGAAATTAATTAGTGCAGAGGAAAGGAGGCATTTCTCTGTCACTATCCACAAAAAGGAAGACCTCTTGTGATTTTCAAGGTGAAATGTGCTCAGTTACATTCGATGTTTCAGATTAACTTGCAGCGGAAGAATGGCCTCCGTCAGTAGTTATCCACTGACTGCTGTGGAAGCTGGCCCTCGTGCCCTATGCTGATCCCACTTGCTCTGCCCCTTAGGTTGCAAGATCTTGGGCACATTGCACATCGTTTTGGGACTGTGTCCTCAGGTGTGAGGGGAAAGGGCTCACTACGTTTGGGTTAAAGATCTTTTCAGGAGTAAAATTCTTTAAGGTGTGACTTAGAAATATCCATGATTACAGCATCTGAAAGAAATCAAAGAAATTCTAGAACCTATTTTGAAAAAAAATTTTTTCCCACAAAAACCAAACTTAAACAAAAATCATTAAAAGTAAAAAAGAATAGAAAATAGAAACAATCCAGTGTCCATAGTGAAAATGCTGAGAGCAAGGGAGGTGATGTGCCTTCCCCATTTCTTTCCCACATCGGGCTGCAGGAGTGCCCAGGTGGTGCTGACTCCCACACACCTAGCTCCACGCGGCAGGCTCCGGGTGGCATTTCAGACTCTCTCCGAGCCGTTGGAGTCCAAGGGTGCAGAATCGTTTTCATTTCTGCAGAGCTACAATAAACTGGAAAGCCATCAAATGCTGAATGAGAGCGTTCACTGGATAAAAAAAAATAAATCTGACTTCCAGGCTCTTAGATTACTGGGGCTGAGCAGGAGTCTGGAAAGGCAGGCTTAATAGGAGCAATCACTCACTTTTCTAAGCTCAGCAAGGACTGGGCCGGACTGCATTCCAGTGCAAAGGAACTCATATTAAATTCAGCATTAAACAAGTCAACCAAGGAACTTAATAGGCAGGTGTGTGTGTTTTTTTACACCTCTGGTTAAATATTCTAATATTTTGATGCTTGTCCACAGCATCCCTTTTGCAGTACCTCTATTTTCCTTTCTGCTTATTTCAAAGTTGACATTTTACAAGTTATTTAGGAACTGCTGAACCATGAAACTATATTTCATTGTCAAAAATGCTGAACAGTTAAATAATGACTAGCTTTCACAGCTTTCCTTTTTATTTTATAATCTAGTCGAGCTAATAATTTAGATGTGAGCCAAGAGACTATGTCTTCTGGGAAATGAGTTATTTCCCCTGGTACCCACAGGTTTGTGAATGTTTGAATGTAAATATATGAATATATGAATGATTCAAGAACATAAACATATCACCGCCTGTTGTAATCATGTGCATTTTTACTTGAGCCACAATGTGGGTTGGGAATAGGTTTGTGAATAGAGCTTGTTTTCATGTAAATGGGATCAAGCAGTACCACTGGTTAGCTATTCAGGGAATCAGACAATGCCATCCTTGCTGGAAATGCTTCAATAAGAATTTAATCCATGTGCCTAATATTCAAACTCTGTGACTCTTGCTTCATATTCCCGTGGCCTAATCCAGATCTCATTGGCTGACAATGACTGAAGGATGGGGTGAGACTTAAGTGATCTATCTATGTGTGGTACCTATTTTTGGCACTGAGCATTTCAGGTTTCATCTTGGTGGTAGTGTCTAAAGGGAGCTTTCTTTTCCTCCTCTGTGACATTCAAAGAGAGAGAGAGAGAGAGAGAGAGAGAGAGAGAGAGAGAGAGAGAGAGAGAGAGAGAGAGAGAGAGAGAGAGAAAAGCTGCATGGTCTGCCTGCCTGCCCCTAGAAGCAGCATCCAGGCAGAAACTCTGATAGAGAAATGCCAAACCTACAGGACAATAAAGAGCTCATGGAGCCCTGGGCCTCACTGCTATCGGCACAACATGCATATTACAAACACTGCTGTACTTTCTAAGTTTCTAAGCAGCTTACCCATCCCTGTGAATATGAAGAGAGACCATTCCCAAAGCATTTCTTTTGGAAATAATATCAGCATCGCAGTGAGAGTAGCTTAATGTTTCACATTTCCTAATGGGAAATTATAAACAGGCTGACATTCTGGCACTTATAACACCAGGAAAAAAACCCACTGAATTAATGCATAGAAAAGCCATTTATAAAATGAAACTTGGTCTATTTAGTTCATTTGAATTCATACATTCTCACAGAGCCACTAGATGTGTGTGTTTGTGATGTGTGTTTGTGATGTGTGAGTATGTGGTGTGTGTACACTGTATTATGTTATACTATATTTGTAATGAAAGCGTTAAGTGAATATGCATTATGTATACCAGTTGTATGTGATCCTGTTGTTGGCAAGGAAAAAAAAAGACTATTTTTCAAACATGTTGTGTGGCTATTTTTAACCTGAAAACATTAATCATAAAAGAGCTTAAATCTTACTTCCTCTGCTTGTCTCTCTGGTACAAATAGGATGACATGGTGTAAGTGCCCACAACACAAGGTATGACAAGGACGGGCTGTTTTGATATTTGTGCAAAGGACAAATGTAACCCAAATCTCTTGGCCAGCCCTGACTTTCCCCACGTAATCAGAGCCCATCCATGTGCGACCCATCTAAGCCTCCAAGAAGATGCTGCCCTCGGTCCCTCTTTCTGCTGCTCTCTGATCTGACTTTCCTGCTTAATCTGATCTAATCCTGCCAGCATTATCTTCATCTGCGCAATGAAACCTGGAGGATCTTTCTCATATTCGGGAGGAAAGTCACTTACTAAATTACATACTCAAATTATATGGTGAGATTTTATTTCCTTATTTTCGATTAGATGAAGGATGTAATATTGAGACACACTATCAATGATTAATCAGGAATCTGTTTCTTCCTTCTTTGGAACAGGTTTTCTGAAACTGGGTTCAAAGACACTAAAAGGGCATGGAAAACTAGAAAATCTCAAGCTAAAAATAAAATGAAATATTAATTTTTTATTGAGAAGTACTAATCAGAAGAAAAAAGAAAGAAAATCTAATTTCATTAACCTGGGTAGAAAAGTTACCCATTAAAAATTGTATTAAATAATAATAATCATAATAATCATAATAAAGATTTCCTGAAAATGTCATCCTATTCACTCAACTCTCTGAGAGGGAGTCTTCTCTGGACTCTGAGTCTTATGATTCAGTTTATCAACATAATAGATCTTTAGAATCTGAACTTAGGTGTCATAAAAACATCAAGATAAACATACAAATAAGATCTTACTCTTAACAGGAAAAATAATTGTGAATTGTCAACATTTCCCATACGCTGAAACAATTATTATTCAACACACATGAAGAAAATACATAAGATTAGTTGAAATCATTATTAAGGTTTGGTACATATTTATCCTGTAACTTAGGATCAGACTGTCATTAACAATTAGTAGACTGGGCTAAAAGAGAAGACAAAATATGTAAATTATTTTTAAAAAGCAGGCATCTGACAGAGATTTTAATATTATTATTTGCATAACAATTAAAATGTAATTTTATAATTCTTATTTTATGTATAATTAAATATCATAATTGAATACATTGAACAGTATTAGATAGCAAACATACATTTTAAGAAAAGCTATTTCCCTAAAGATATTCCATAGATATGTTTATTTGCTGGAGCGTATATGTGTGCACACATACATATATTCCCTTATATCAATAGTCAGATCTCTCCTAAGAAGTAAGCTAATTGAGCTGCTTGTGTTGATAAACTCCTTTTTCTCCAGACTATTCCTCTCCGAGCCATAATTATTTGCAATTTGCCTAAGTCGTCCATTTACTGATACGTCAAGCATGAAACAGAGGCAATTCCAGAAAATGGAAATGCTTCTCAAAATCAATCTTTGGGAAATAATGTGGTAGAAGTTACTGTGTGATAGGAGACTACCTTATAACTGTCACATGGAGATGAATATTAATTTGTTGAGGTTAAGGTGGCTTTGTGCTTCATTTGTTGACTTTGCTTAGCCGACAGCAAAACAGCACAGCCCAATTACTCCAGCAAAGCTATTTTTTTTCCTAACAGGAGTTTTATGATTTTTATGTACTTACCAGTCAGCACACATAACCATGTCAAAATGTCCTTCCAGTTGAGAGACATCTGTCTCATTATCCCATCGTAAAACGCTTGAGGGAAAAAAAGATTTTTTAAAAATTATACTTAGGGGTTTTTGTGTTGTTGTGTTTTTTTTACTTTTGATTTTGAGCTATTAACATTATTTTTCATGGCACTTGAAATTATTTAAAAGGCACATACAAACTATTTCAAAAGGTATAATAAAAAACTAGAACATAACGGTCTGTTCTATATTTTATTTAGTCATCAACTCAAGAAGAGGAAGAATTCTCTATTTAAATATAATAGTTAAGCTTTTGCTAGGTTTTATATGTTTCTGGAGATGAACTAGGGAAAAATATCTTATCTTTACCATAGTCATTAGAATGAATCTAGACTCAACATCTGTAAGGTACATATTAAAATAAAAGTATTTCCCCATCTGACCGAAATACAAATTTGAAAAAATAAAGGATGTGAAATAGCATATATTGTGCTTGGCATGTCAGTTGCATTTCTTACTAATGAAATGAGCAATCGGGCAAGATGGAGGAAAAGACTTTCACTTAGCAGTTCTCAGTTTTCAGGTGCAGTTAAAAAATCACCCATCCTGACAGTCTCCCCAATAACCTCAACATTGCTAAATTCGGGTCAGTTATCAGTCTTCATTTTACTGGACCTATCAGCCTAGAACTGTACCCTGAACTCCAAGTTCATATATTCAACTTCCTATTTTAATAGTTCCACTTGGGACTCTAGCAGACATCTCAAACTTCATATGTTCAATATTAAATTCCTCCTCATTTCCCTCTCTCCCCTCCCCCCAAATTCATTTCATGCACAGTCTTTCTCAGCTGCTAAACCCATCTTTCCAGTTGCTCAGGCCAAAAACCTTGACTATGACTATATCCTCAATTCTTTTTTCTGTTGTACCCACGTTGGATGTGCCAGGAAATGTAGTCATTCTACCTTTGAAATATGTCAAAATCCACCTTCTATCCTTCTACTGCTCCACCCTAGAAAGAATTATTATCATCTCTCATCTGATTTAATTCAGTCTCCTAATTGGTTTCCCTGCTTCCACCTATCACCCCACAATTTCTGCTCAAAAGAGCAGCCAGAATTATCCTTTCAAAACATATTTCCAATCATAAACCTTGTCTTCTTACTATCTTCTAATGGCTCCTCTCTCCACTCATAGTAAAAGCCAGTCTTGATAATGACCCGTAAGACCCTATTCAATCCGGTTCCCATGCTGACCTCATTTCCTATGACTCTTCCCCTTGGTCTTTGCTCTAGCAACAGAGGTCTCTCTATGATTACTTGAATACACCAGGCATGCTTTTGCCTTAGGGTCTTTAAATAGGCTGCTTCCTTGTGTAAATGCTCTTCTTCCATACAACCCATGGCTCATTCCCTCATCTCCTTCAAGTCTTTGCTCAAATGTGTTACCTTCTCAAGTAAGACTTCCATTCTGCTTAAAACTGCAATCATTAATTTCCACTTCAGTATTTCTGAACCCCCTTAACCTGCTCTTTATTTTTCTATAGTGGTTATTACCCTTTAATGTGCTATATTACTGAATTATTAATTTTGTTTATTCTCTCTTTCTCAGGTAGAACTAAGCACCATAGGGACAAATATTTTTTTAAAACCTGTTTTGTACCAGGATGTATCTTCATTGCCTAGAACAGTCCCTGATACCTAATAGCTGTTCAATAAATACGTCCTATCAATGAATTCTGTATGAGTTTCCCTAGCATAGTGCCTGGCACCCAGAGAGCACTCAAGAAATAGAGGTTCCTATATTAAGTTGTTCTCTGAGTGGAGTGTGTAGTTTAAGCCACTTAAAATGCTTTCTGAAGATTCCTGCTTTTGGCAAAAATGGAGTAACAAAGACCTCATTTATCCTACTGCCTGAACCGCCCCCCCCCCTTCCACCTAAAAAAACCTACACAAACATATAAGCAATAGTTTTCAAGACACTGAAAATCAGCAACAAAGGACAGTGATCCTTGAGAGGGGTGGGGGTAATTAAGTGAGTCCTGCCATTGCCTCAGATTACTGCCTTGAGAGAGTTTCCAGGCCATAGCACAGCGGGGAAGAACTAAGGTGGAAGCAGGTAGACTCCCTGAAAGTCTAAGGAAACCAAGGCGATTCCAGTTTACAGTATAGAGTACCAGACAGGAGATTGCTGCAGAGAGAAAATTCTGAAGAACTGTGGAGAGTTCCCCTGGAGTCTTCTACAGAGTACTGATTGGTGCGAGTATATAAGGAAACTACTTGAGGTTAAGAAAAGAACCATCTGAGAGAAGTGGAGGGGACTGGACCAGTGTTCACTCAGGGCCAGGATAGTACCTGTTTCCACCAGTCAGACTAGAAAACTCCATAATTGACAGGATACTGGGTAGAGTCCTCAGCTGTATCTCATCTCGGTAGTGGAGATGTCAAGCCTCCAAATTCTTTTAGGGAGCCAGTATACTAGTAATATTAAAACCTAATAAAGGTTGCACAGTAAAAGTGTGGACCAATTTTATTGATGAATATCAATGCAAAAAGCTCAGCTAGCATCATGCACTACCGGTGGGAATGTAACATGGCTCAGCTACCTTGGAAAACAGTCTGGCGTTTCTCAAAAGGATAAACATAGAGGTTATGTGACCATATACACCCAAAAGAAATGAAACTTGTCACAAAAACTTGTACACAAATATTCATAGCAGCATGTTTTAAGCAGCATAAGAACTTTAAAAATGAAAACAACCAGATGTCCATAAAGTGATGAATGGATATGGTATATCCATGCAATGGAATATTATTTAACCATAAACATTAGTGAGATCCTCATAAGTGCTAAAACATGGATGAACCTCGAAACACTATATATTAAGTGAAAGAAGTCAGATATGAAACGTGACATATTGTACAATTCCATTTATGGAAAAGAAAATCCATGGAAACGGGAAGTAGATTAGTGGTTTCTAGCACTGGGAAGAAGAAAGGGTGGAAGGGAGTGGGAAGTGTCTGCTAAAGGGTATGGTTTTTCTTTTGGGGGTGATGAAAATACTCTAAAACTGACTGTCATGGTTGCATAACTGTGAATATGTTAAAAGACACTGAATTGCATACTTTAAGTGGGTGAATTGTATGGTATGTGAATTGTAGCTCAATAAAGTTGTTATCCAAAAAATCTCAGATAATATATTATTAGAGTAAAACAGCATGTTAAAGGAAGAATTAAAGCACCACAACTAAGTGACTAAATGTGCTGAGATGTTATAATACTAGGAAACCTGTTAACATGAACTGTCATAGTTGTAGGTGAAATAAAAACAATTTGATCATCTCTATACATGCTGAAAAGACATAACGTTCCATATTTATGATAATTTTTTAAAAATAGGAGTCAATAAAAAAATTCCTTAACAAGATAAAAAAAATATATTTTTGATACAAATAAAGCTAAGGCATACTTAGTGGTGAAATATTAGAGGATTATCAAAAAAGTAAGGCTCAAAGATGCCTATTATTTAATACTAGAGGCCCAGTGCACTAAATTCATGCAGTCAGGGCGGGGGTCCTCTCAGCTCGGCCTGCACCCTCTTGCAGTACAGGGGTCCTTGGGGGATGTCTGACTGATGGCATAGGCCCACTTGGGGAGCAGGCCTAAGCTGATAGTTGGACATTCTTAGCGCTGCCGCAGAGGTGGGACAGGCTCCCGCCACTGCCACTGCCACTGCCACTGTGCTGGCCAGCCGTGAGCCTGGCTTCTGGCTGAGCAGTGCTCCCCCTATGGGACTGCACTGACCACCAGGGGGCAGCTCCTGTGTTGAGCATCTGCCCCCCTGGTGGTCAGTGTACATCATAGCAACCAGTCGTTCTGCTGTTCAGTCTATTTGCATGTTAGCCTTTTATTATATAGTATTAGAGGCCCGGTGCACGAAATTCATGCACCCAGGGAGGGGTGTGTGTGTGTGTGTGTGTGTTTGTGTGTGTCCCTTAGCCCAGCCTGCGCCCTCTTGCAGTCCAGGAGCCCTCGGGGGATGTCTGACTGACTGACTCGGACATCCTTAGCACTGCCACAGAAGCGGGAGAGTCTCTCACCACCGCCACTGCGCTCACCAGCCATGAGCCTGGCTTCTGGCTGAGTGGCGCTCCCCCTGTGGAAGCGCACTGACCACCAGAGGGCAGCTCCTGTGTTGAGCGTCTGCCTTCTGGTGGTCAGTGCGTGTTACCGGTCATTCCACCATTTGGTTGATTTGCATATTATGCTATTATATAGGATAATATAATTCTGGAAACTTTTAGCCAATAAAATTATACAAAATAAAGAAAAGAGAGGTATAAGAATCAGAAGTTAAAATTATCATCATTTACAGAATATGTAATGGTTAATTTAAAATATTCAAGAGAATTGACAAACTATTAGAAATTTGAGGCAACTGAATATTTACTACACAAAACCCTATAGCTTTCTTTATATGCACATAAGTAACAACCAGTTAGAAAATGTAATGGAAGAAAAGATCTCATTTATAAGAGAAATAAAAAATGCACTTTCCACAAATAAGCTTAACAAGAGAAATGTTTTATTTATTTATTATTTATTTATTTATTTATTTTTTATTTATTTATTCTCACTGGAGAATGTTTATTGACTAGAGAGAGAGAGACTGGTTGCCTTTCACAAACTCCCCAACTGGGGACCAAACCCACAACCTAGATATGTACCATGACAGGCAATCAAAATCGAACCTGCGACCTTTCAGTGTATGGGACAACACTCCAACCAACTGAGCCACATGGGTCAGGAGGAAAGATTTTAAATGCTAGTGAAGCACCTAAAAAATAACTTAAATAGAAAGAAATCACCCTGTTCTTGGAAATGAAGACTCAAAGTCATAAAGATATCAAGTTGTAGTAAATCATATATTTCAATGAAAATGCCAATACCGCATACTCAAAATACCAACATAATTTTATAATAGTCTAGGGAGAAAGAATAATGCAAGGGACTAGTCTTTAACAGATATAAAAATATGTTACAAAGTTTCGGACTTTCCATGATTTGATATGAACAGACTAAGTCCACTTCTAAAAATTGACTCAGCAAACATACTTGCAAATGAACAGTTTATGTGCAGATGTGTTTCACCGCAGCATTGTTTGTAATGGCAAAGTAATGAAATAAGTGTCTATTATTAAACTAAAAAAAATGATTTTAGCAATAGATTATGATGTGTTCATCCTCTAAAAAAAAAAATTTAAGATTGCCCCTCATCCATTTAAAAGTGACAAAATCCTTTGAAAATGAAGACATCTTTATTTGATATGTAACTTCTGTGATACAAATATCTATTTACGAAGGTGGGATTTTTTTCCTTAAAACTGGAAGACATTTTCACAGAGGATGCAGTAGTCTAACCTGCACACCTTGCTATCAAAACAGAACGTAGCCGATTTTTGGTAGTAAGAGAGAGTTTGACCTGGCTAAAGAGTAGGGATCGTTGTGTCCAAGGAGTTAATAAAATGTTATTCTAGAAGAAAAGGCCTTAATTTTATATATGCTGCAGTTTAGAGGGCCCCTAAAAATATGGTGTCCCATATTTTAAAATCTGGCTCATTTTAATAGGAAAAAAAAAGAACTCTATCAAAATATCTGAAACTGGATGACATTCCTGTGGGAGTTGGTTTCTTTGGTGCAAAGAAGCTGGGGCATCAGTCCTTCTATAAGCATGTCAAGCAAATAAAAAATGTTATGTTAGTAATAAAAAGTACACTTAGTAATTTCATTTTTCCATATCTGACATCTCTAGGATTCTCAGCAGTGCTCAAGATTATGTTACCATAATTCTAGCAAACTCACTAATAGGTACATTTTATCAGAACATTTCTTTACGAGAGCCCTCAGCTTCCTTATCTCAGTTACCTTCTACTAACCTTCCTCTTCAACCTGACAAAGGACAGATAAATGCCTACTCACAATGTCGGTGTGTCTACAGACACTGCATGTGTCTGCCTGAGAAGAACCCTACCCTGAAATGAAAGTCAGCTATCTGATATATGCTCTAGTGTCTCTGCATCTCTAGCACTTTACTTTCCTCTCCTAAAAATTGTTTGGTTCCGTAAGTCTTGTCGATTCCTATCTTCCAAACTCTGCTCCTAATACAAATCTTAAAACTTTTCATATAACAGGGATAAAGTATACTAATTGCTTCAGAGTACAAAAACATATTAAGCAGAATCCTTGCCTTCAAAAACATTATTTGCCTCACTTGCTAGAATGTTAATTCTAAGAAGACATGGACGTTCTCAGTCGTGTTCATTAGTAAATCCACAGCACTTAGGATAGTACTTGGCAAAAGGGATCAAAATACTTGTCAAGAAATGGATGCATCAGTGAACATGAAAACAAAGACAACACACTTTGGACAATAAGAGAATGCACCGTTTTACTGTGGGACTATTCTAAGGCCAATTGAAGTTAAAAGAAGGAAAATATGAGGGCAGGCTAAAATAGTCAGGAGGAAATGGTAACTAAGTCATCCTAGAAGGAAGGACTTAGATGGGCGAGGAGGAGGGGAATAAGATTGGCAGAGACCAGAGATGGGAAGGACCAAATGTGTTAGGAGGAGAATGAAGAGGCCTGGGTGACAAGGGAGAGGGTGTATGAGGGGGAGCAGTGGAAGCCAGATTGAATGAAGAGAGTGAGGAAGGTGAGAAGACTGCAGAGGCCTGGAAAATCACCAACTGGATCCCACTGCGTTGGGGTTTCCGTTTAAAAATCATTTTTCACACCCCCAATTTAACCTCTAATGGAAAATGAGCCTCCGTAAAGATATAAATCTTAAAAAGAAGTAGGGCAATGGGGCCAATAGTCAATCCGGGGGGCCCACATAAAGGTATAATTTGAGTTATAAAAAAGTCTTAAAAGTTATAATAAGTTCCATAGTTTACTAAGACTAATGGTTTATCAAAGAACAATAAAAGTCACAGGCCTAAATTCACTAGCAATTTTCACACAAAGATAACCTTTTTTCTTAAGTAGAAATTCACTTTTAATATCACAGCGGGGTATATTTAATAGATTTTTAAAAAATTTTGTAACTGTTCATATTACCCATAGAATGACGCCATTCACTAATTCTGGAACACCTAGAAATATGTAGGCGTCAAAAGCTCTGAATGGTTCTTTATTAGACCGTCACCGTTTTGAAGACAGCTTCAGATAAACCTAACAATTGAGATGCTGTAAATACATTTGCTCTTTCACCAATCCCTAGCTATATTTGGCAGCACAATTTCCTGTGTTCAAGGATTATTCTTGATTATTGCACAATTTATGTTCTCAAAGGCAGAATACCTTGGACATATTAGTTAAATGAATGGAGGGCTGCAAGGATGAACAAATGAATGAAACATCAAAAAACTGTATTAAGATCTTTGAGGTGTCATTGCTATATGCCTCACAGAGGAACACCCTAGGTCTTCCTTGACCAGGGCTAAAGCTCCTGGGTTTCACAAACAAGCCTTTCATATTTTGCAACAGCCGGGCGGGATTACAATGGAACAGAGCGGGTAAGGACGTACACAAGGGAAGAGCATTACTCTGGGCAAGGTTGGTGGCGTTTATGAGAGCAGGGGTGGATTTACTGGGAAGCTAATGAAGCTTAACTGCCGGGACCCCTCACTTGCACAGGCACCTCCCAAGGCCCACGAGGAGCCCTAGCAATGCATTCACTCTGTAGTATGCTTCTGTAAAATTTGCCAAAGTAAGGTCTAATCAAATTCATCACCCTAAGAGGGCCCTCAAAATAAGTTTCAGGCCCCACACAACCTGGGTCTGCCCTGTGTGAGAGGCAGGCAGAGGCTCGATGGCAGGAGGAGTGCCAGTTGTTAGAGAACATGGTCAGGGCAGTGAAAATGGGAGCTCAGAGGGCCAGTCAAACCTCTGGGTGGTTTCTCGTTCCTTTTTAAAAGCACAATCTCCTAGGCTCCCAGTTCTCATATCATGATTTTCCTTTCTGCTTTTCTATCGTCTTTGCAAATGAAGTCACAGGAGACATTTAGCTGTTATAAACTTCATGTCAAGCTCTGAAGTGCTTTTTAACAGCAGAAATATTTGGCTCACATGTGGGCTTTGTAGCTGTGGTAAATACCTCTTAGTTATCTGTCGCTACTGTTATCCCACACCTCCAATTTGGAGAAGAAATTCTGCATACGCATTGAGGCATTAAAAAAAGGAATATTGTGCCATATCTTAGCTCTTTTGTGAGCGGTTTCCTTATATTTCTTCTCATATGGAGCTAAGGCTTTTATCATATTGCACTGGTCATGGGTGGGAAAGCAGTAGATAGAAGGGGAACACTAATTATTACATCACTGGTTGGCAGATTCCTCTTAGCTTCTTAAAGGTTAAGTGGTCAAGTATGTAACTTCTTAATACAAGATCAAGGCATTTCAAGGACTAACTCATTCACCTGTTTTCTGACAAAGTGCTTTAGTAGATTTTGGATAAAATGCTTGCAGAGGTTAAAAAGGAAGAAATTGACCAGAGTTAATATGAAATAAAAACACACAAAAAAATATCTTGGAGGTTTCTTATATGACTATTGACATATAGACTATAGGTCTAGGTACATATCAGAACAATATATTTAGAAGTAGCATTCTTGAGAACAGATAATAGAAACAAAGGACAAGTAGTAAGCATTGTTTGCATATGTACTGTGTTGAACAATGACATTTTACTTTTTTATGTAACTTAATTATTTTATGAAGAGATGATAGAAAATACTATTATACTTCCTAAGTTAAACACTTGACATTTTGATTCCTCAAAATGCAACATTTTGGAAGTCTAGATATGTTTATTTATTAGTGATTATTAACACCCAGTAAACAACATTATGTCTTGTACAAACACAACCTCTCTTCACAGCATGATGCTGAAATCTATTATTCCCTGATTCCATATGCTGAAATACACTCAAATGCTCACAAATGACCTTAAGCATTAAATACATGTAAATGAGGACAACCTAGCAAGTGTGTGCTTTTGATTGATAACTAAAAGACTAGGTTGAAAACCACATCTAAAAAAGAAGTCCTCGCCGAAACCGGTTTGGCTCAGTGGATAGAGCATCGGCCTGCGGACTGAAAGGTCGCAGGTTCGATTCCGGTCAAGGGCATGTACCTGGGTTGCGGGCACATCCCCAGTGGGAGATGTGCAGGAGGCAGCTGATCGATGGCTCTCTCTCATCGATGTTTCTAACTCTCTATCTCTCTCTCCTTCCTCTCTGTAAAAAATCAATAAAATATATTTAAAAAAAAAAAAAAAAAGAAGTCCTCCCCACAAGGGCCTGGAGTCCATGCTCTTGGGAGCAATGGCTCCCAAGAATGAGAAGCAGGTACAGATTGCTCTTTCTAGGACCTGCCAGAGGTTTTCTGGGAAACAGAACTGGTTTGTTCATTTATATGAGAAACACAGAGCACAGTGCTCCCTGTGCCATCAACCAGCATTTCAATATAGGATTTAAAAATGCATATCTGGCCCTGGCTGGTGTTCTCAGTGGTTAGTGCATCGGCCCGTAGACTGAAAGGTCTCGGGTTTGATTCCCAGTCAAAGGCATGTACAAGAATCAACCAATGACAGCATAAATAAGTGGAACAACAAATCTGTCTCTCTCTTCCTTTCCTTTCCTCTCTAAAAAAGATGAAGTCTATCAATCAATACATAATTAAATGAAGAAGGCAGCTGGGCTTCTCTCAACCTCACATGGTACACTCTCAACCCCACACAATTCCCACCCAGTGTGTAATATATTCATCTTCAGTTTTTCTCATCTATTCATTTAGGGTAATAAGAATTCCTGCCTGCCTCATTATGGTTCTTGTGGACATTAAATAAGATACTTATAAAATGCTTAGAACAGTGCCTGACACACAGTAAATGCTCACTAAATGTGAACTATTATTGCTTTTAATAATCACCCACAGCATGGAAAAAAGCAGTTTCAACCAGAGCGTGTTGATGCAGGAAGGTATCTTACCAGCTTGATACTTTCTGAGTCTTAAACACACCAGCCTTCTGATTCCTTTGGATGATGTCTCTCACATCTGTTGGACATAGTTAAGAAAGCTTCTGCACCGACTGTCAATTGGCTAAAAATAAAGACATAAAAGCCCACAAACACAGTGATGTTATCGGACAGGGGACAGGTGAGAAGAGAAGAGATGTAGGGTTATATAAGGTAGGCGGAGAAGGTTCTAGCTCTGGCCCTACCACCAAATGTTGAGTTACTTGCCACAGGCAAGCTCTTTTAATTCCCTGGGCTGCAGTTTTGTTACCTGGGAAATGTACATTCAGGGAGCATTGGGGCGAGGCCCAATGTGGGCATTGGTGGGGGGAGATGACTATTCCATAGGTGCCAAGCCCCACTCGCTTCAAAGGCAAAGGTCTGCAGTCTCCCGGGAGGGCAATGGCCGTCTTCTGAGACTTGCCAGGTTGAAGTATTCCCAGCCTCCTGACGGCTAGTAGGGAGGGTGGGGATGAGCAGCAGAGAAGACCTGGGAGAAAGTGAGACGAGGAAGATGAATAAAAGCCCGGAGATTCTTAGAGAGAAAATGAATTACTGAAGAAAGTCAACCCGGTGAAAGGCCCCTGGATGAACTGTCCTTCCAGGGACCTATGCTCCGGCCTCTGGCCGTCTGCTGGTGTGTAAGCACTTGTACAAGAAGAGCCATGTGTACTGAAAAGATGTTTTGTGGAGCTGGTCACTGCCATCACGCAGCATCGTCTCCAGGAGGGCCCAGGGGGACAGCACATTGGGTGTCCACATGGGAAAGGCTAGACTTCAGATGGACAGTTAGTTTTGCTTCAACTTCTATAAATCTTGTAACTGTTCCTCTTTCTCTTTTTACTCCAGTCGCTGTGCAGCTCAGACCCAAGTCTGGCCACCACAGCAGCTCCTTCCTATTGGGAAAATTTTCTATACTGACCTCCACTCCTGGCTTCATCATGTTTTCTTGTCTTTCTAATTTTCAATTGCCCTCATTTTCTCATGTATTTCATATGGTATATTCTATGTGTCACTGTAAGAAACCTCAAAATCCCTCTTTTGGAATAAGGCAGGTTTAAATAAACAAGAAATAAAATAATTCCAGCGAAGGCTGCAAGCTGAACTAAATTGGGCCCATGGGGAGGACACCAAGCAGACAAGCGATGTTCCCCTATTGCTCAGAAAAACAGATTTCCTGAATGCTGGAAGCGAGCACTGGCCCAGGTCTCCCTGCAAGAACAGAGCCACAGGACGCTTCAACCCAAATCTCTGCTTGAAACACCAGGCACACCCATTTCTTCTCGGAGTGAATAAGCAGGTACTGTGATAGCTTTCTTCCCCCAGGAGTGGGGAGGAAAAATCAATTAGGTCTCCTAATGAAGGGCTTTGTTGAGGTTTACAAAAGTGCTATAATGCAGACTTTTTTTTTTTTTTCCTGGATGAACTTTCCTGTATGCAAATTAAATACTGTTAAATTACATTCATTAAAAAAATAAAAGAGACTAATTTGCCTACTTGTTTTGATTAACTGAAATGACACATAGGCCTACAGTTCTATTTCAGGAAGAAAGTATTTCAGGAAAGTCTTCTACATGAAATGTCTTGTAGAAAAGGACAGCTGACATCTTTATTCTGAGAACAAAATTAGTAGTCAGCTGACAACTGTTTTTGATTGAGCTCCCCCACACTCTGGCCACACCCTAGTCAGTGTTTCCATGGCATCCAACTGCAAGCCAGAATGTGACAGGTACACCTGTCGCGTCCTGTGAGTACATGCCTAATCTATCAAGCAAAACATGTTATTTTGTTACTGGAGGTAATACTTTTTATAAAATAGTCACAGGGAAGTTAAATTATATAACTCAGAAAACCTATTAATAATTTTTAGTAAACATCTCAACACTATATACTTTTATACAATTTATAAACCTGTGACTACAGGTCGCCAGGCTGAAGCAAGCATATATATTTATAATCTAGGAGCAATTTTTTTTAAATGAAAAAAATTTGCAGCAGTATTTAGGCTGCTTTATTTTTAGAACTGGGGAGAGAATATATTTGGTGGGTTAGAAAAAAATGTCAATAGCATATGAAAATACTACCTTAAGAGAGATATTCTGACATTCTGATCCCCACCCTTTACTTTAGGTGGGGTTTTTGGGTGGTTCCTCTAGTTGGCACTGTGCCCAATAATCAATGTGGCCCTTCTTCTGTGTCACCTCAGGGTAATAAAGGAAATTCAATCAAACGAAGTTGGTCTGTCCGGGACAGTTTTGAACAGAATGGACCAAATCGTGTTCTCTGAACTGCACCCACCTTCTGGGAGACTTCAGTGGGAGGTGCTGGGTGCAAAGAGAGATTTCTGATTCAATGGATACAGAGTAATCACCTCCAATCGCCTTGCCTGGGCAAAGAGACCTCCAGAGCCAGAGGACACATGCTCGTGGCTAAAAGGAGACCAGGATTCTAGCTCTACATGTTCTCAAATAAAGCAAAGCTCAGGAGTGGGGCTCCATTATAATTTTGCTTCAGTTGATTTTTATTCTTAAAATTATATTTTTGCATAATGATATCACTTATTTAAACAAATTATGTTACCTATTATATATAACATGATTTAAAATATTAACCTCCTGCTGCAATTAGTAATTGTTATATTTATCGGTGGTCACACACACATTTTGAGAATTGGTATTGTTCTTTAAACAAGAAAGCATTTGAAAAAGAAGACCACTGCGGCTCAAGAGGCATTACCTTCGTGGTTCGTGTTTCCTTCATTCCTCACTGGAACATCAAAGGTGAGAATGGGAAACTATGAAATTATTATACAAATCCTGATTACCTTTATTTCTAAAGTTTCTAAAATGTGACACTATTTGCTAATTTAAAGGTCGCCAAATATTCCTTAAGTGTGCTCATTACTCAAATGAATTGAGAAGATGGCACAGAGGTGATCTGAACTCTGTTAGCAATGTCAGCTGTGGTTTATGGATGAGAGAGCTTTTCTTCCAGAGGGCGCTGAGGAAATGCAAGATGACACTCACCCAAGCAGCCCAGCTTTTGGTGAAGAGAACTGTTTAATGGGAGAAAAAGACACTTTGAAGTCAACTGAACCTGGCTTCTAGCGCTGGTTCCGATTCTTAGCGGCTGTGTAAACGTGGGTCAGTTAACCTCCCTGAGCTCCACCTCGGAACAGGAATGATGATACCTACTTTACAGGCTTAATGGAGTGTCACATACGAGGAGCCTGACACATAGTAGGCGCCTAATTCATGTCAATTCATTATCCTCTTCAATAATTCAAGTAAAAGCTTTGGAGGGATGAAGAGGCTGGTGATTGTAACTCAAGTGAGGTTTGGCAATGAAGCTTCACCTTCTTTCCCTGCCACTCAGCGTCAGTTAAGTGAACATTTATATTGTAGAATTTAAGTAACTGGAGGGAATCCAAGAACTTCTGCCCTGTAGGTTTCCAGTGTCTTTCCCGTGTATAAATGTGTGCTCTAGCCAAGGCATAGCCTGTGACCCACAAAGACAGGGGCTTGGTCTGTCTTGTCCTCTGCTGTCTCTTTAGCACCTGAAATGCATGCAATTAATACTGGTTGAATTAATTTTAATTAATTAACTAAAAATTAGGTTTCCAAGCTATTTGTTGAGTCCTTGCCCAATGTGAGGCACACAGAGGTCCATTTGTGACTCATCTTGTAAACAGAAGTGCTGGCATCAATACTTCAGCTGGCCCTGGTATTGCAGGAGGGGCCTGGGTGGAGGCGGAGGGCCCGGCATTCCCAAGGTCCCAACCATCCCCAACCCAGGCTGCTCAGTCCACATGCAGCTTCACTGATCAATGCCTGGAATCAGGGATTCTGTTAAAATAATGGCAAGCAGGGGTGTCCTTTAAAATGGACATGAAATTAACCAAATTTGGAAGAATCTTAAGCTTGAGATCATGATCCAGACTGTGCATACTGTGGGGATGAGACGCTTGGGTGAGGGGCACAGGAAATGGGTCGCCAAGCGTTGCCATATGCTGCAGGTGACAACTTGATGTTTACTGAGGAGGGGTCAAGGCGGGGTGCTTGTGTTGGGCAAGCAGTGAGTGTAGCAGAGAGGGATGCTCACCTTTAGATGTTGTACTTTTATTCATTATGATTTGGAAGAAGCTTAGCATCCATAATAACTTAGTATATCCTATCTCTCCCCTATTCTCATGTCGTTGCCATCACCAGCTACAAATTTTATGGAGTAATTATTATCTGTGGGCACTTGGAGAATTCGTAATTACACTAAAAGGGCAGCGCCAAAGAAAAGGACTACATTCCCTACTATTTCAAGATAAATTTGAGAAATGGATGAACCAAATGATGTTATGTTCTAACTCATCCTTTGTTCTCTCCGGGTACAGCTAAATCACGGCATCAGTACGGAGAGGCACTCTGAGGTAGGGGGCTCTGTAGTTTAAGGGCCACGGAGAACCTCAGAGACATCTACCCAGGAATCTGAGAAAATGTTCAGACTTACAACATTCGCTTATACCTCAAGTCTTCATCTCTTTTCAGATACCTCTGTTTAATAAATCTCAAATCAGCATCTAGCTATCCAGGTCAAGGTAGAGAGCTCTAGACAGCGGTCACCAACCGCCACTGGTGGTCCGAAAGGTTGGCGACCGCTGCTCTAGAAGATACAGCCAATCCACTGCATACATTTTAGGAAGACAGTGAATAAAATAACCTCAGAACTGGTTGATATGTTTCTATGATATAGAGATTCAGAACCCATCTTTCCATTGCCTCACATATTTAAAAATCAGAAATAACAGAAGATAAAAAGAAAATATCAGGAAATGCTCTATTTTTAAAAAAGGTAAGAATCAGAATGTTAGAAGATTAAGAGACTAGGAAGTAAGGCTCAGGTAGATTCATTAAATTCAGATGCCAAGAACAACAGAAATAATTTTTTAAAAGATGAGAATAATATACAGGCCAATACTCAGATGTGATGCGTGACTGCCAGGTCGATTTTCAATTACATTTCACTGATGTATTCATTTGTTTCTTAATGTGCTCATCTTGCCCATTAAGAATAATTAGCAGCTTTGCTTAGAGATTTCCTGGCTTCTGGCAATGTTTCTCCCCCTTTTTTTGGTTGACATCCACTTTTACTTTTTAGAAAGTAATTTTTGAATAATATCCTACAACTGCTATATAATTTAGGCTTCCTAAAATTTTAAAGGAAAGACGTAAACAGTAATTTTTAAATGAGTCTGTTTCGACCCATATGCATCAACAGCATGTGATTCAGTGAATTAGTTATTCTAACAGAAAATGGGCACACACATAGAAAAAAAAATTTTTCATTCATATTAACCTCACTCAGCAAAACTGCGCAGGATGAATGCCAGTTGTAAGCTCTATTAGCAAGTCAGGATATCATTAAGAGCAGGAAAAACACATTGCCAATTTTTTAAGGCTTGATGCATGCTTGTTTTTTTTAATTTAAAAAAAAAAATAGATCTAGTTACAACAGAAAAATGCACACAAACATAGAACAACGGCGTGACAAAAACCGCACTGCACTAGGAAAGTCCTGAGAGACGAAATAAAGCACTGCCCGTTTGGGTCTGCATCCTGAAAGGACCTACTTTATCTACATTGTAGAGTTCTTCCCCTCCTGCCCTCTGGCACCCCGCTATATTAAACCCATTGTAAACCCCGGCACAAAAAAGCACTCTCAGGGCTGAGCTTCTGAGGACCAAATGTTAAAAATCCATTTTCTTGGGAGGGGGCTGTACCAATCATTTCTTTGAAAGGCCGGCAGAGTGAATACAGAATCTGAGATTTCCTCTCTGATTTCAAGAGCTGGCCTGGCATCTTTGCTGTTTAAAGCCAAGGTGCGTTAATTAGTGACATTAGCATTGCTTCCTTTCTTTGGAAGCTCTGTAGTTTAGCTCGATAATAATTTGTGTCATTAAATTTACATGCGGACTACAGATGTTTCCCAGAGTTTGTTAAAAGTTCTAATTGGTTCCTGAGGCTGTTAAATGAGACACCTGCTGACTTAAGGAAAACCTCAGGTTGCTGGGCCCAAGCTGAAATTTCTGTGGCTAAAATGACCTTCTCTTGCCCAATAGTCCTGCCCCCTTTTTCGCCCCTGGAAGAGCAGATCCGCTGGGGCTGAGCCGGCATGCCTGACTCCCTCTCGCTCTCTGTGTTCCCTGACATGCGGGGGAGGGGCACGGGAAATGATGCCGCGCACGAAATAACTCAGAATAAAAGCAGAGTGAATGAATAACATGGGCTCGTCTTCAGGAATATTTTGAGAAACTTGCGACAGCCTGAAGATCATGATTAAAATCCTGCATTTTAAAAAAGGAAGCACCTTTTGAGATCTCTTTCCCTTGTGTGAAAGGCCAAGCCTGTGATTGGCTGTTTTTCCTTCCTGAATTTTTTTTAAGTCTGTCAGGCAATTAGCTGGGTGGGGCTCTGTAGAGCACACAAGTGCGGCTGCACAATATCAGCTACTGTGTTTCTGGTACCTCCTTCCTCCCCTCGGAGCAGCCTGATGGAGCTGCTGCAAATGTTACTTGCAAAAACAAATTTACAGAGCAGAGGTAGCAAAAGAAAATAATTTTTAAAAAGGCTTTATGTAAGATGCCACACACACACAAAAAAATCAGACCTGCTTTGACATTTTAGGAGTCTCAAATTCAAATAAGGAGATTACCTTCTTCAGAATGTAAATGTAAGGCACACCAAAAAACCCAGAGCAAACATATCTTCCACTTTTCCTCTCAATTTCTAACGGCTGTTAACTGCCCCTGAACAAATCAGCTCGATTGCTAAAGTAGCCACAAATTATGCTTGCTTTCTTAGTTAAAGTACAGTTCAATTTTCATGAACTCTGTGTACATATTAGTAAAGCATAATCTAATATAATGGGGTTTGAACTGTAATAGCATGGCAGAAAAAAAGAGATAGCTCTCATAATCCTAAATAAAAGGAAATAATGAAAACCTGCTAGCTGTTTTCAGCGGGGAGATAGAAGTAACTCCTCAGGAATTAGAGTAGGCATAATATTACATGGCACGGATGTACACTACCAAACACAAGAAAGGTAATGACGAACATGAAGTTGGAAGCTAATTTTTGTAAGCAATATCCAATGTAATAAATATTACGTAATTTATTTTGTGCTGGCAAATTTCAGTGGAAATAAAAAACAAGAATGCCTGAAAATTATTTGGAAACAAAATGTTCTTCCTGCCTTGAGTAGTCCACAAATCATAGGCTCCTTTCAGGAGAAGTGACCATTAAAATCGATCAAAATAAACAACACTTCATCTTGCCCAATGAACTCCATGTATTTCTACTTTTTCTTAATTACTTATCATATGTATGGGGGAAACTCTGTTTTAATACCCCATGCTGACTTTCTTTATATCAAGCGTTACTCAGCCGTGGGTGGGAGGGGATGGGGAGAGGGGAGGAACGAACGCCGCAAACCCATTTTCTATCTGAATAAGGATACTTCTGATGGCCTTTTCATTCCCATCAGTTAACAGAACTTCTTTGACATCTGCAGAAATAGCAACCTGGAAAAAAAAAAGGGGGTGGGGGGAGCACAGCAAACAATGAGCAAATATGCTTGTCTGTGTGGAAGTGAAGACAGGAGTGACAAGCCTTCAGTATCATGCTTCCTCACCTATTTCTCTGTAACAATCTTCAATCTTTTTTCATTTTATGTCTGCATTATTTTAATCATTCAATCAAATCAGTCAATACTTTTATCATTCCATTTGCGGGAGCCTCTATCTTGCTATCATTCTGTTCGGTAATTGCATTGTGACAGCGGATGATGGTATTCTGAGAGGCTTTCATTTGTGGGCTTCTGTTTATCTAGTAGAGCCATCATACAAGGCTGTCACTCTGCCTTTCAGCTTGCTTCTGTCTGACTGCCTGATGCCCTTCATATAACTTTGCATTGCAGGCAGATGGCTTTGTGAGGGTAATTTTTTTGTGAGCTTTGACATGCTCGCACATTGGGCTGTAACCTCGACACATTGTGTGAGAGCGACAGGTTTGTCAAATGCCAATCAGTGTAACAATATGCTTTTATTTGTAGAGACATAAAAACTTGTCTAATGCACTGTGCTGCTACATAGTATCTCCTGAATACATGACTCAGAACCCAGAGAATGGGGAACGGCGTTCCTGAATGGCCAATCGAATTCAAAAGAATCTAATTACTGAGCGCTCTGGATCATGTTTGTTGGTGTAATAATGCAGGCAAAACATTAGCAGCTATCTCATGGTGCTCCAACTGTGATTCGCCGGGCTACTCCTGAATCTTAGCAAATGGGACTGTAATCTGAAGGAAAAAAAATGCTTTCGCTATGGCAAAGAAAGACTGTGAGAGGCCTGGAATGTCACGACAAGCGATATCGACTCACTGAGGTAAAATGTTTCTGCTCATCGAGGCAGCCATAAAAATCAATATGATCCGAAAGTAAGTCAATCTAGAAGGTCTCTCAAGACCCGGCAGCTTGACCGCAGCTGATGCTGTTGACGGTTCTCTGACCCAGCAGTTGGAGGCCCTGGAACATTTTTCCTTTTGTTCCTCCCTCTGAATGAGATTGGAATTGAGAAAAGACCTACCATGAGCCCAGCCAAGCATGTCATGCCACCCCCTAGCTCACACACAGCAAGGTCCCTGAAAGAGAGAAAAGAAATGGTAGAACCCATACAAATTAGATGAAAATGGTCAGAGAGAGATATATGTTACAAGAACAAATTGCCATCTGCAGTAAGAACGGCGCTAACCAGGAAGTTGTAGAGACATGACTGGGCTACCTCATGTCGTTTTGCGTTTTAAAAATAATTATGAAATAGAAAAGTCACAAAGCAGGCAAACCAGTGGGGGTTCCCTCATTAGTGTTCACTGCAACATTACCACCGCTGAGCTGAAAAATCTGAGAAGGTTCCCTTTTTTTCCCTTGTCAATGGCGCTGTCTTTTAGAACTAAACTAGCTAGAGTAGCGAAAGATAATTGTTAGGAAAGGATAACACTGTTAATCCACATTCAGTCCTTCAAAAACAGTTAGACAAGTAAATGAAGAATATATATGAGTGTGTGTATACCTATATTATCGTCACACACACACACCACACACACAAAATAAATGCAATCTTGAATTAAAAAAAAAAAATAATCATCTAAAACAAACCGAAACATTTGGGAAAGCTGAACCGCCCCCATCAAGAACAATTACACAAAGAGCATTTAGCAATTAACACTTAAATCACAACTGACCCCGACACAACACAGTGAATAAACAATGCAGGGACATAATATGGCTAAGCCAGCAAACCCAGCTAAAGTAATGACTGGGCTCTGACTTCGCCGCTCCAAGTAGAGCGGCTCCAAGTTAAAGCTGACAGGCTAGCGTGGCACTCTGCACTTACCTTCCTCTTTGTGCCTAAATATCAGCGCTCGACGGGTGACATCCTCGCCCTGGCCCCCTGCCCGCTGATTGGAGCTCCAGTCAAGCTTAAGCACAGCGAGATGAGCAAATGCCAGGCGTCCAGGGCAGCTCTGCAGCCCAAATTCAATACGGCCCTGCTCTTATTCTACATGTTTAGATTCTTAGGATTGTTTCTTCATCCCAGTTTGGGAAGTTTATTACCTCACCCGAAGGGGGGCCGGGGTGGGGGGAAGCAGCACTAAAAGGGAGGGAGAGGTGGAAAGAGAGGGAAGGGGAGGAGAAAAGGCCAAACAAGAACATTCATAGTCCAAAATACACTTAATGGGTATTCAGTTGTTAAAAGCAATTACAGACTAGTTGGTAAATATGGGCCCATTGAACTTCAAAAAATATACATTATTGACCCAGTCTTGTAAGTACATATTGCTAAAACACACACCCCATGATCTCTAACGGCTTGTCTGGAATCATAATGGGCTATTCAGGAAGCTTCTAGTGGATGACTTTTATAAAATGAGATTTAAAATGAAAAACCTTTATTTTCTGGGTCTACCAAACATCTTGATAATTTTCAAATAAAAGAAGGTGTTTTTTTTCTTTTTCCTAAACCTCATGCATGGGTTTGATCTATAATGCACACTGACAGTTGAAAACATTTATTTCTGTAGCATGACTCTGTAATTACTATTTATTACTATATTTTATAAATACACGTTGTTAAGTGTACAAAACACCTTTACAAACCGGGGGTGGGATGGCACCTTTAAATAATAGCTGTGGGATATCTATTTATAAAAAATTCTGTAGTGACTTCTCTGGCAGAAGTTTAAAGAAAGTCTTTATTGTTTTTGTGGGGTTTTTGTGGTTTTTTTTTTGACCTTTACAATCAGTAAGGATTGATTGGAGCTTCACTTTTGTTTCCCCAAAATCAAAGTGAAATAAAAAGCCTTGAGTGAAAATCAAAAGCTTTTGACATATAGCAAAAAGCTTGCTGTGCAATATTAGTACCCAAAGGCAATTCAGATTTTTTTAGAAGCAACATGTTTTCACCATGAACTTTTTTCTCTTTCTTCCTGTTTTCTTTCTTCCTTTCTTTCTTTCTTTCTTTCTTTCTTTCTTTCTTTCTTTCTTTCTTTCTTTCTTTCTTCTTTCTTCCTTCCTTCCTTCCTTCCTTCCCTCCTTCCCTCCCTCCCTCCCTCCCTCCCTCCTTCCTCTCTCTCTCTCTCTCTCTCTCTCTCTCTCTCTCTCTCTCTCTCCTTTTCTTATCTTTTAAACAATTTAATTTGAAGAATGTAACCATAACAATCTTTAACATGCAGATACAATACCCATAATGGGCTGGGGGAAAGAAGTATTTTTCAGTGCAGCTTTGTACCTGAATATCTCACTGTGCTTGAGGCAGTAGTAAGCCAAAACCTCTTCAGCCGGCCAAATGCCTGAAAAACACAAGGGGATAGGCCTTTTTGTATTATAGAAGTCTCTTCTAGAATCATTCTTTGCAGTCATTCTTTAGGAAATGGCATTTAAAAATTATATACAGAATAAGCCATTTTGACTTTAAACAAATGTAACATAATTATTAGTAGTATTATATCACATGAGTTTCTTTTGTTGTTGATTTTATGATGGTAATATTTATAACTCAGGAAAATAGTACAATATTCTAAATAAATTTTACTAGATTTCAATCACAACAAAACAGCAAAAACAATAACCAAATTTCAAATATCAAAAGTTGAATTTTAATGGGATTTCAGCCAATTCATATGCATCAGTTAAAGACCTACTGTACATGCATTTTATGTTAGGCAAAAATAAATGGAAAATCATTTACAGGAGCAAATAAAACCACTGAGGTCATTATACTTTTTTGTTTGATTCCATACTAATTTTTTAAATATGCACAGTTTTTCCCTTTCTCCAATTAATAAAAATCAAACTGGAGCATACAATTAAGAAATTTAAAAATTTCCAACTTTGGTACACCATTAAATTTAACAATAACTCTTCCCACTAAATTCCATGAATGGGCATTTTCTAAAATCATCATCTGTAAATCTTTTACTAGTATTTAAAAGACTTAAGTAGTCTTCATGAATGTATATGAATTGCTTAAAGAGGAGATAAACCTGTTAGGAAATTATAGTTCCTGGTAGTTATCACAGTTAAGTTTTCTCTTTATACTTTTATATTTCCCAAAATGTTTACAATAAATATGTATGACTGCAATAATCAGAATAAACAATAGCCTTATAACAATTATGCTTTCCCCAAATGGCCAGACTCAAAGATCAGGCAGGGCACCAGGCATCCTGCATGACTGTGCAATCCTGGGAAAGAGCAGTGGATGTTCTCTGTTCTCTTCTAATAGGTCTTGATGCAAAACTGAAACACCTGCCCTGACCGGTTTGTCTGAAAGGTCCCAGGTTTGATTCCGGTCAAGGGCATGTACCTTGCTTGCAGGCACATCCCTAGTAGGGGGTGTGCAGGAGGCAGCTGATCGATGTTTCTAACTCTCTATCCCTCTCCCTTCTTCTCTGTAAAGAATCAATAAAATATATTTTAAAAAAACAAACAAAAAAACTGAAACACCTAACAACACTTAATTTTTTTCTCCCAGATGCATCTCTAGCTTTGAGGAGTAAGAAATCTGGCATTTCAGAGAAAAGGATGTAAAAAAATTGGTAAGTAAAATCTTAAAAGAATCAATGGGTAAATCTATGAACAGCAAAGAGACAGCCCCATAGAGTATTTGCTGCAGCAAAGTCTCAGCCCTGGTTGGGTAGCTCAGCTGGTTCGAGCATCATCCTGATATACCAAGGTTGCAGGTTCGATCCCGGTCAGGGCATATACAAGAATCAACCAATGAATGCATGAATAAGTGGAGCAACAAATAGATGTTTCTCTCTTTCACATACTCTCTCTCTAAAATCAATCAAGAAAAATCTTTTTAAAAATGAAACCAACAATCAAATCAGCGATTGGGAATATAAGGAAGCAAAACAACACCCAATCAGAATAGCAAAAAGAAAAAAGAATTGCCTCCCCAAAATGAAAATAGTGTAAGGAGCCTCCAGGACAACTTCAAGGGTACCAACATTCACATCATGCGGGTGCAAGAAGGAGAAGAGAGAGAGCAAGAAATTGAAAAACTGTTTGAAAAAGTAATGAAAGAAAACTTCCCTAACTTGGTGAAGGAAATAGACATACAAGTCCAGGAAACGCAGAATCCCAAACAAGATGAACCCAAAGAGGCCCACACCAACACACATCATAATTAAAACAAAAAAAAGATTCAAGAAAAAGAGAGAATCTTAAAAGCAGCAAGATAAGAGCAGTTGGGTTATCTACAAGGGAGTGCCCATAGGACTGTCAGCTGATTTCTCAACAGAAACTTTGCAGGCCAGAAGGGAGTGACATGAAATATTCAAAGTGATGAAAAGTAAGGACCTGCAACCAAGATTACTCTACCCAGCAAAGCTATCAGAAGGAAGGCCTCTCTCAAATCTGAGACTCAACTGGAGAGGCCAACACCCCCTTAGCGAAGCTGTAGGTTCTTCTGGGAAAAGAAATGCGCTGATGGACGTTACTAAAAGAAAAAGCTGCTCATGCTGGAATGGGTAAGTGAGCCTTTTGGACTGTTTTTAGTCTTTACATTCTGTCTCCTTTTCCTTAAACATTTCTGAATTGTCATTGATGTTTCATCCCAGGAACTACAGAATGCTCCATAAATTTTTATGAGGCATCTACTATGTCTCTGTGGATCACAGCATGGTCACTAGAGCTTCAGTCTATTAGGGAGGAGACATTAACTAAATAATTACACAAATGACATGCCTAATTATAATTGTAATAAATGCCATGTGGGAAAAATTGATGGTCCTTCTGAGAACATTTCATAGGGGACTTGACCTTGGTCAGAGGGGAAGTTGGGAGGGGTCCATCGGAGAATACTTACCTGTAGAAATGGAATGTAAGCTGGGACCCAGAGGATGAAGAGGCAAGTAGAAGAGAAAAAGGGGGACAGGGATAGAGGAGATGGCCCATAGAAGGGGCGGCCTCATGAATTAAAACTTTGAAGAGCTTGATTCTTAGGAATAGAAATAGGGTCAGTGGAGCAGTACAATAAATGAGAAAGGGAGAGAGTCGTGTAAGATGAGACTGGAGGGGTAGTTAGGGGCCAGATCCCACAAGCTCAGACCATGTTAAGAATTTTAAATTGCATCATAAAACAAATAATAAAATTTAAGCAGCAGAGTGGTATGATTAGATTTGCATTTTAGAAGGTAAGTCTGGCTACTCTAAAGAAAATAGATTGAAAAGGAGTGAGAGAAGGCAGGGGAAATTAGGTAGGCGGCCACTACAATTACATAGGTGAGTGTTGATGGTGGCTTGGGTGATAGAGGACAGGAAGAAAAGTGGAAAAATATGAGCTATCTTTAGAAGGTACACTGGCAAGACTTTATAGTGAATTAGAGGAAGAGGGTGGTAAGAGAGAGGAAGGTGTCAAGTATGACTTAGGTTTATGGCATTAATAAGTGGGTGGATGATGCACAACAGTAGCATATAGATTTTATATGAACCGGGGAGACTGAATTCTTGGTGCAAAAACACTCACTAGGGGTCTAGGCTCTGATTCTGGCTCTGCCACTAACAATCTGTGTGATATTGGGGGGAAAATTAGCCTTTCTGAGCTTCTGTACCCTCATCTGCAAAATACTAGGCTTGGGTTAGATTATATCTAGGAAGACTTTAGGCTATAAAAAGCTGTAACAGAAAACCATGCTTTGGAGTTAGACAGAGTTCAGCTTGAATACCAGCTCTTATGGTTACATCACCTTGGACAAACTTAAATGTAAGCCTCCTTCATTCATTCATCCATCCCTTCAGCATACAGTTATTGGCAGCCAGGCCTGCTCTAGAAGCTGGGATACAGCAGTGAATAAAACAAAGGCCTTACCCAAGTAACTTCAACAGGGCAATAGACAGTAAAGTAGGTAATTTCAGAGAGTAATTAATGTTGTGAAGGAAATAAAAAATTAATGAAATTGAGAATAACTATGGGGGGTGCTACTTTAGCCATCATTGTTGGGTAATGCCACAGTTCTCTCATTTGTTAAGTACAAGCAAGAAAAGTACTAATTATAGTGTTGTTGGGAGGATCAAATGAGCTAATGCATGTAAGGAACTTAGAGCAATGCCTGGCACATAATAAAGTTTTTTTTAATAATGATAGCTATTGATACTTCTGCTATTGCCATTGTTACTATTTGGACATGTTTTTATGCAGGGAATTTTATTAACCATGATTATACTTTTATGATATTTTCTTCACCTCTAGATTGCAAAGTACACTAGGTTGCAAAAACAAGGGTCCAAATGAATTGTTTTGCAATTTTATTTCTTCTCTTATTCCTGGAGAAACCAACTGAACCGACAGGACAGAGAATGAGCATGAGGAGGGAGGAAAATTAAAGGAGCACAAAAAATTAACCAAATATTTCAATAATAAATTCTTCTACGATTGCAAAACAGGTTAGTTTAATAGGTATGGTTTGATTAAACTCGTCAATATATGGTGGTGGGAAAATTGAATAGTTACATGTAAAAAAATAAAACTAGATCACCAACTTATACCATACACAAGAATAAACTCAAAATGGATAAAAGACTTAAATGTAAGTCAAGAAATCATAAAAATCCTAGAAGAAAATTTAGGCTGTAAAATCTCAGACATCTCACTTAGCAGTATTTTCACCAGTACATCTCCTAGGGCAAGAGAAAAAAAGGAAAATATAAACAAATGGGACTACATCAAACTAAAAAGCTTTTGCACAGCAAAAGAAACCACCATCAAAATGAAAAGGGAACCCACTATATGGGAGAACATATTCACCAATGATACATCTGACAATGGACTAATTTCCAAAATATATAAAGTTCTTATAGAACTCAACACCAGGAAGACAAACAATCCAATTAAAAAGTGGGTAAAGGACTTGAATAGATACTTCTCCAAAGAGGACATACTAGCACAGATGGCCAATAGACATATGAAAAAATGCTCAATGTTACTAATCATCAGAGAGATGCAAATTAAAACTACAATGAGGTATCACCTCACATCTGTCAGAATAGCTACCATCCACAAATTAACAAACAGCAAATGCTGGTGAGGATGTGGGGAAAAGGGAACTCCAGTGCACTGCTGGTGGGAATGCAGACTGGTGCAGCCATGTGGAAAACAGAATGGCGTTTCCTAAAAAAATTAAAAATGGAACTGCCGTGTGACCCAGCAATCCCACTTCTGGAAATATAGCTTAAGAATCCTGAAACACCAATCAGAAAGAATACATACACCCCCTATATTCATAGCAGTATTATGTACAATAGCTAAGATCTGGAAACAGCCCAAGTGTCCATCAATAGATGAGTA